GTCACATAACTACCGGTTGAAAAATCCCGGTCACAATGGTCTAGATATGATATATCCTCTGACTTTGTGACTTTCTCTTGTAAGGCTCCTAACTTTGTCAAATCTTAACTATGTTACATGGTCAGACCACCGGTGGAATCACCGGATTGAGTGCTATGTTACCACAAGCAACCGGTCATGTAAATACCGGTCAAAAAATACCGGTTGCAATGGTCTAGATACAATATATCATAATATCCTCTAAATTTATGGCTTTCCCTTGTAGGGCTCATAACTTTGTCAAATCTTAACCATTTTACATGATCAGACCACCGGTGGAATCGCCGGATTGAGTGCTATGTTACCACGAGCAACCGGTTACATAAATACCGGTCGTTGTTGCACCCCATAATACCGGCCCACCCGTCTCCATTGCACCCTATCATGCCGGCCCACCCGTCTTCATTGCACCCCATATCACCGGCCCACTCGTCTTCATTGCACCCCATATCACCGGCCGACTCGTCTTCATTGCACCCCATATCACCGGCCCACTCGTCTTCATTGCACCCCATATCACCGGCCAACTCGTCTTCATTGCACCCAATAACACCGGCCAACTCGTCCTCATTGCACCTCCTTTACCGGCCCACCCATCTCCATTGCACCTGCTATACCGGCCCACCCGTCTCCATTGCACCTGCTATACCGGCCCACTCGTCTTAATTGCACCATATTTACCGGCCCACCCATCTCCATTGCACCTGCTATACCGGCCCACCTGTCTCCATTGCACCTGCTATACCGGCCCACTCGTCTCAATTGCACCCTATTCTCCGGCCCCCTCGTCTTCATTGCACCTTATGTACCGGCCCACTCGTCTCCATTGCACCTCATTTACCGGCCCACTCGTCTCCATCACACCCCAGTTCCCCGGCCCACTCGTCTATATTGCACTCCATTCCTCCGGCCCACTCATCTATCACACACTGGATTCACTACTACTATTCATAATTTCCTATATAGTACATTGCTATACTACCATCTATACTATATACACCCGGCCCATCCGTTTGCCTTGGACACTCCACCCCCTCGGCCCACTCGTCTAACACGGTACAATTATTGCCATGGGCCGGCACCGGGTGGCCCGTCTCTATTGGTACATTGTCACGCCCGGCTGCCCGTCTGAGACGGGTGAATTCACTGAAGGGGCTCGCTGACACGGTTTCAATAGATGGAATATACTATTCAAAAGCGGAGGCGACGTGCGGCCATCCTTCCTTTTCAGCACTCAGCCGAGCTGCTCAAGCGCCGGGCTGTCGAAAACTAGACTTTCTGGCGTGCTCGACACTAGTTAGGTTTTAACCACCGAATCCGAATTGATGGGAACTGCTGCCAGCTGGTGCTCAGCTTACTTCCTTTCCACAAAACACGTGCATGATTTTGTATCATAGGCCGTGACGTTGGAGCGAACACACGAAAAACGTACATTTGTTGGTAGGCCAAGTCCGTTCCATTCATCCATCAAGAACACATTGGCGCGCAATGAATCAAATGCTCGTGCCATGTGTAGCACCAGTCCTAACATAATCAGCAATGCAGATATCACAAACAACTGGAATAAGTTGCGGATAAATTGACATTGCGTATGTAGCACGCAGTCATAAACAGTACGTGAACTCCACCGTCAATCCAGGACGGACGCGAATACCCGATCTGCGACTAAAGAATACGTCTACTACTATTGGTTACCACTTGCTCGTGCACACCACATTTCGTGCATCCTCCCAAAACCACACATTTCCCACTACAAATCTTCAAAACTACTATACCTATTTGAAATAATAATACACAAGAACATCTTACGAGCTTAGACGGATGCATTTGGACAAGAAACAAGAGAGATAAATGTTTGGTTGTGACAAAGGCTTTTGTCACTTCCCTTGTTGTCACCTGCCATCCACTGCCGCAGCGGAGCGGCCAGTGTGATTACACCGTGACTCTCCGTGACTTTTATGTGACTGCACGAAATGTGGTGTGCACGAGCAAGTGGTAACCAATAGTAATGCTCGTGAGTTGGAACCATCAAGGTCAATTATTCCACAACGCCGTTACAGTTTACCCTCGCGACCACTGGCCTGGCTTCTAGTATGCTCTAGTGGCGAGGTCATGCAGGCATAGGGCCAGGCCTAATGAGTTTCCATATGCATATGGTCGGGGAGTGTGTCTGCGCATCCCTGCAAATCTGAAATTTGGGTGAATACATCACCATAGATCGGAGTTCACTAACAGGTACTACCAGAAGGACTCGTGGCGGAGTGCGTCCGGCACATTATTTGATGCCTTCAAAACAATTATGTCACGAAGCGCAGCTCCGTGATGCAAGCACATCCAGATTGCTTGGTTGTCCCCTATACAATACCTGCGGATAAAAGCCAGCGTATTAGTTTGAGAAATCACTATCAAGTTTCAGCCATGAAATTCACTTCACTCACCACTATGATCATCTCTGCCGCAGCGATAGCTAGCGTAGCCATCGCATCCGAGGATCTGTCGGTAACGCCCTTGAACCTACCCTGCCACACAACTGGTGAGCGCTTTCGTTGCCTACGTGCAGACCTTTGACCACATGCTGATGGCTATCCACGGATGAAGTGGGGTGCTCAAACATGAAAGGTTTCAATAACGGGAACGATTTTGGGTTTTACTGTCTCAATAACAAAATCTATAAGTTTACGGCATGCACGGGCGGAACTAAATGTCATATCACCAGCGGGACTATGTTCAAATGTTCATGAGCGCTGAGCCTTGAGGCTTGCTCCACTCCACAGTACCTAGGTGAGCCTGTCGTTGTCATTGTCTCCCGAAGCTGAGTGCTGATGTGCTTGTTTTCACCAGTGCATGGAACAATGAGCATGATGCGTGCGGGAGGGCGTAAAGGAGTACTGATGACATGAAGTTCTGGAGTTTGTTGAATCCGGTCATGATGAAGAAGATAGGATTTATAACAACTTTTGTACAGTCAAATTGATGTCGAATATGCTTTCTTGAGTTTCCACGCACTCTGAAGTCAAACAATATCTGCGCAGGCACCGTGCCGAATGAGCTCCCTGTGATGTACAATTTGATGCCACGGTCGTTGGAATCCGGATACAGGTGGGGACAATAGCGTGGTCATGTCACTTGCGATGCAGTCGTAGTACGGTGTCGACGGAGGAGGTGACGTGTTGCCCCATCCAGATCCTCTGCTCGACCGGCATCTTCTTCACGGCGTCTATAGCATGGTTGAGTGCCGCGGCTGCCTCTGTACAATGCACTGTACATTCCACCAGCCTTCTTGAAATCCTTGAACAGAAAGCTCCACCCATAGCGCACCAATAAGGCCCATAAAACTGAAATCAAGCTGCGAGGTTGGTGTGTCTGATTGATGTGTCTTCTCATCGCCGTCGGCGGTACAACACGCTGATAGGAATGTGAATTCGGCGTGTGGAGCATCGTTCTCGAGTCCACCTGCCTGTGTGGCTTCGTCGCCAGAAATATTAGTGAACATGATGTTGAGGGGAACAAGTCTGAGGACAAGCTCGAGCTCGCTGTCGACCAGTGGGGACATAGTTCGCGCCCAGAGCGATCTGCCTTCATTCGAGAGGAATGAGCTGTGTGGAGAGGAATGGACATGAACACTGCCTTAGGACAGATTCGAGACTGGCCTCCCCGTAATTTCAGGTCACACTTGACAATGGGTAGCATGAAGTGGTGAAATGTTGCACTAGTTGAGCTCGCTGTTGCCCACAGCAAGCACGAAGGTTTCGGCAACGTGCGGCGAACAAACCTGCTGTGACATACCAGTGACATTAATATTGTTAGGTGTGCTTTGTATATACAATATGTACAGCGGACTATGAGAGTAGGCTCGTGACCCTACTATGAGAGATGCATGCGGCATGACGGCAAATCGAACCGTCACCAAAGATCCACCATAATAATGCATTATTCACTTGTTATTCACAGTACTGTTAGTTACAATGGTTAAACGTTAATGCCCAGTGAAAATCGACAAGAATGAGGTAGATAGGTAGCAATAGACGTCTAAGTCTACAATGAATTAATGCACTAAATCGACAGTACAGCCTGTAGTATCACTATGTAGTTTCATTGTTTGAACTATGATAACTTCATGGACCTATGAATTGTTGCCCTCGCCCTCGCCCTCGTCCTCATGCCCGAATCGATGTCATCTTCATCATCTTCATCATCTGTTTCAAGCTCGTCAATCTACTTTTTTCACATATTTATTCTTCTGTCTTTGACGGTGCTCTTGGGGTATGATCTTGTGATGCATCATTATGCTACTACGAGGACATGGCCCATGTCCTCGTAGTAGCATAATGACAGTGGAGCCTGTTCCATGATGTACTACAATGATCACCAGGCCATACTTGACTCCTTCGTGTGCAAACTTCGCCGACAGTTTGAAACAACCTGGCCTCCAGATGAGCGTTCGATAATGTTCTTGCACTATCACGGAACATCGAGGAAAGATATGGGTTCTACAATCAAGCTGCATAACTTTGAAGCAGCTTGATTCCTTTTATTCCTCGTACTAGTGAGCGCTGGCAATTACTCGCGATACCCAATAAAATTGTGGTGACGGTGCATCGTCGGTGCCAACATCCTTCTCTAATAATTCGAAGATGAAGTTCTGACTTGTGTCATTAGGCCCCAGTGTCCGCCAAGTAGACTTTGAAAACCCCATAATGACCCAAGTAGCAGAACCTTGAAAAAGAAAGCACGACTATCATCTTCCTGTTTTTGAGGTGAATAGGGGGACGCCCCGGGGTGTTCCATCCAGTCTACGTGTCATTTTACATAGCTTGTTTTTCTGTTGTGACATACGATTCAAGTACAAAGGGGTAAGTATATGCGTAAGCGGGTACTGCCAAGATGTAAATGGAACCTCGTCGATTTCTGTTCTTCGCCTACGATATTACTAGGGTCTCGACCATCTCGCTGCAAAGAGAACTTGTATTTTTGACTTCCGCAATGATCTCGTCATCTGAAGCAATTCTCTTGTAATCTCCGCTGCGCTGTCGCTGTAGCAAAAATGAAACGCTGTTCAAGCTGATAGGGCAATAGTGGCTCGCAACGACTGAAGCTCGAACGTAGATAGATCGGGTTGTCTAGGACACCTGGGTATGGAGAGACCTTCCGCCCTCTGCGCATCATCTTCAGTGTCGAGCAGCCCGAGGAGATCACGATTCCACGGACGGACAAGCAAATATTTCCGAGGGGAGCTACCCTGCGAGAACTGGAGCAGGGCGTCTTTCGAGGTAATCTCCAGGTCACGAAGTCCCTCTGCCTTGACCAGGCTTCCCTCCCAGTTTGGTGATAGGGAATACGATACAAGGCAGATGCAGAAGCAGCCGGCCCTGGTCCGTGGAATGAAGAGCGCTCAGGGTGACAAGCTTCTGGTACAATTTCGAAGCCCGCGTGTTAGGCGACTGGGCATTATTTATTCATTTCGCGACATCCATGGGAAGCTTCAGCAAGGAGGCAGTTGCACGAAGTTCGAGCCCGATGAAAGCTATAGGAAGCGTGATAGGAAGTGTCAGCAAGGAGACGGCGGTACGTCGGAACTTGGGAGATCGAAGGCCCCATGTCATACAGAGATGACGGCGAGAATGGTGGGTCTCTGTACGGCGTGAGGTCGGCTGACAGGCAGCTGTTAACCTCAGATGATGTTCCGACCCAATCTAGGACATCAACGTTGCCTGGTTGGACTACGATCTCCTGCAAAAGCCGCCCGAGCGCTTTTTGCTTCCCCTCGTCATATTTCACAGGAAGGCGGATGTCGAAGATGCCAAACAATTAGTACGCGATGCCTTCCGGATGCTCGGTCTTACGCTTCCACGCCCCCATAAGTTTCTTCCACGCCTGGAGAGAAGGTGATGAGGGTCTTTTGATCTATGTGTGTCGCCTCTGCCAACTCCTTCATGAGCGCAAAGGACTACTTGCGGTTGAAAGAGTGATCTGCGGGATATAGGGTCCAATCCTTCCGATAAAAGTGAAGAACTCTGGGACCTAGGGATTCCCTGATAGTCCATCCTCGCCCGATCCAAGCGCTCTGTGCTATAGACTTTGACGGAACATCTGATAGGTAGACAATTGTAAGCGCTGAGTGACGATACCAGACAAACATGGAGTTGATCGATCGCTGTTCCTCAAATTGGTTGGTCTTGTCGATGCAGCACGTATCGCTCCACGCCCAGCGATACCCTGCAGCACGAGCAATTTTGCAGAAAGATTGCAACCCCATGATGCCGCCAACTGGATCCAAGTTGTACACATCATTGCCATTGATGTCGCCAAACAACGGTTCCCTCTCCTCCCACTTATGTGATAGCATAACGCAACCGAAGTACGTCGCCGCCACTTCTTTGGTGCGCCCCAATTGGAGTTCTGGGTGCTTCATTGCGAATGACAAAGGTTCCTTGTACTCTGTGCTCATTCGGAAGAAGATTGTCTGCGCCTCTCAGTCGCACAAGAGCCCGGTGAAGGTGTCGATTAGATGAAATTGTGGAGGTGAGCGTAGACGTCCGTTCGAATAGCACTCTCTGCTTCGAAGTACAGCTTGGCTGCGATATCTTCATCGGAACGCCGTGCGTCAGACGAAGAGCTTGGAGTGATGACCTATGTATCGCTAAAATGAGCATTCGCTGGTAAACGACAGAGGTCATCACACTTTTGGCGCATTAATAGGCGCTGCATCACGGGGAGGCAGATTTTTAGCGGGGATCTGCATGAAGCATGGTCACATTGCGTTGTAAGAGTGAAAGGTGAGAACATTTCATAAAGAAAAGGGTCTTCGGGAACCGCCCAGTTCGAGATCTTGTTATATTAGTTGCCGCTGAGGATTTCCGTGCCATCCGCGGAGAATATCTACCCAGCTAGAGTACTTGAATATCGTGACCGTTCGTCCATCCGAGAACCACCAGAGGCGGACATGACAGTCATCCGATGCGGAGGCAACGAGTGTGCCAGTAGAGTTAACGGCAGTGGCATTGATACGGTCAGTATGACCTTTCTGGGACCACCGACCTGTTCGAATTTCAGGTCAATGGATCCCACTCCCGTATGGTAGGATCGTTCTATATCTTATCGCCCCCGGAAAGAAGCCATGCATTATCCAGGCGTCCACCAAGTTGCGGGCTGAATTGAACTGTGCGCGAGCGTCAAAGTTTGCGATTCCCTTGGGTTTGGTTTTCATAATTGGATATTCGAAGAAGTAGTGATGGCAAGATGTTTGCCAGATGGCCTAAACCGAACGCAATGAACACGTTCGCGACAATCTATTGGACTTCCTTGCGGCTTCGACGTAGTTGTGTTCCGCGGCTTCGTCATGCGGTCAAAGTGAACCAGTTGTCAGCACAGTACCAGCTGGCGAAAAGTCCAGCGAAGCAGATCCAACTGGAAGTGGGCTATGATAGCTTGGGTGATAGATTCGCCAGTGTCTCCGTCCCAGGCAATGAAATTCCCCTCCCTCATCACTGCTTGCTATCAATTTTCCGTCTCTTGTTACTCCCACTGCCTGTACCTTAATGTCATGTCCCTCCATTTTCTTCGGCGGAATCCCGGTCTTGAAGTCCCACAGACGAAGTGTCCTATCGTACGAAGCCTAGTCACGACTCTACGTCGTCTATCGGGGAAGGATCGCGACTCCTGATATGTGTCCTTCATGACATTCAAATGTTCGAACAGGTATGTCGATAGGCCGTATTGCTCCTTCCACCATGCTGATGGTGCTTGATGGTGTCGAGGTTACAGTAGACTTGGGACTGCAGGAGTCTCGCTCCAGGCTGCAATGGTACGTTTCTATGCCGTGTCATTAAATTGCCTAGTGTGTCATTACTCTAGATGCCAAATACAGGTGGTTGTTCGCCCACAAGCCTCCATTTGACCATATTTCGTCTATTGGGGAAGACCGCGACTACTTCCAGGGCGTCTTTCTGGTCTTTACAACACCCTGAATGGGTGTGGTGATTTAATGATTGGGCTGCACTAGCAGGCTTGATGAGTCAAGGTGGGATCTCTGTACGGACCGCAGTGTCTTGCTCTATTTAAAGCAGAGGCTCACGTACTCGGCGTGTTTATCCTCCGTATGCCTCGATAGACGCCCAAGACACGAGGCTGCCCGCCCCCAATCCTGCATTGCATTTTTTTGGAAAGGCTGTAGCCGGGTTGTCACATCAGTCCTGATTGACAATTCAATTCTTCGCGCCTCCGTAATTTCCGCCGCAGCTTTCCCGGTACAACGCCGCATCTGCAAATCCAAAAAACACAGCCGTTACTTACGGCTCACCGTTAATGCCTGTCTAATTATCAGTGAGCATCAGTGGCATGATCGCCTTCAGTCCTGCATGAATCGTGTCCTGCTCATGTTGGGGCGCTACTCCATCATACGATAACCCTTTGTGGTTAACTTCTTTCGTGAATCAGACATGCATCTACTATGATATGACCTTATTCATCCTGTCGACTTTCAAGCTCTGCAGTCAGTATCGGATGCAGTCGAAGAGTCTCGCTTCCTGCGCTGGCTTTCATTCTACCTGGCGGAGTAGAGTTCTTTCATCGCATGGAGTTGAAGGGAATATTCACCTGGCACCGACGTGCGAAAGATTCTTTTTGGACAAGGCATTAACAACGAAGGCCCATGATTCGTGTTGAAGCTAGTGGAAGTCGCTGGGAAAGGAAGCGGACGAAGGGATTGTATAGTATAGGTACATATGTAGGTATGGTCATCGACGTCACGCATGCTGTAACATCGTTTCTTTTTTGTGGAACTAATATTGCAGGAAGGCAACTGACCGAGTAAGCCTCCATCGACATGATCTTATCTTATCTTGTTTGTCTGTTGTCTGTCTATTTATATTTATGTAGGTATTTATTTATCACGAGTGTTATTGCTGCAAGTTGAACTACAGTCTACATACTTACAACTTGCAACGACCAGGACAAGACCAGGATGCCAACTAATGACCATAAAGCGCGTTCACGAGGTGAGTAATCCGATAATACACTTAAAAAATTGCAGATTAACCTCGTTAATAGGACCTTCTCTCGTTGTACGATTCTATTTAATTGCATTCAATGCATTATCTGCGGCAGGATGGGCCTATGTCATTTACCTGGCTCTTGGCGTATTCATAGGTCAAAGTGCTTCAAGTTCAGCATACGACTTCTTCAAACCACTTGCTTCATACGTGCCGACTTCTGTCGTAGCCCTATTCACCCCGCAGTCTAACACATCGAACCATTTCTCCACTACTCTCGCATATTTCTTGCGTCCGTATTTCCCCGTGACATACAACTCCACATTCTTCGCCCTTGGGCCTGTGCAGTCCCTCGCAGCCCTTGAAATCCTGCATGTCCTTCTTGGGTTTGTGCGCTCCCCGCTCCCGACAACCGTCATTCAGGTCTCCTCACGCCTCATTCTGGTTTGGGGTATCGTCGAGCGCTTTCCCCACACCCACTCGAGCCCAATATATACCACCATGGTCCTTGCCTGGGCGCTGACCGAAGTTCCACGTTATGCATACTACGCGCTTTCGCTTACGGGCTGTGGCGTGCCCGCGTTGCTTACGTGGATACGCTATTCCACATTTTATGTCCTGTACCCCATCGGTGCAGGAAGTGAGGCCCTCGTCATGTTGAGCACCATTCCAGAATGGAATGGCGGGAAGTGGTCAGCGTGGGGCACCGAGGACTGGGTCAAGGCAGGTATGGTAGCAATTTGGGTGCCTGGTGAGTTGTGCATGCCGCCTTTGGTTTTATCGCTGACTCCTCGTTCTCGTAGGGCTGTGGATGATGTACTCACATATGATGCGCATGCGCCGTAAGGTGCTTGGTGTTGGTAAGGGCCAGAAGTTGGGAGCGAAGCCCAAAGACAGGCTCAAGGCGGAGTGAGAACTGCCATGAATGTAGGCGGGGACAAAAAAAATGCTGACTATTCACGATACCCTGGAATCACTTATTTTACGATATCGTCACGCCTAGACTCGTCTCCACCATTTGTGTAGTGCAACTCGGTATGTGCAGAGTCTTGTACATCGTCTTCGATGGGCGGAAGGCTGCACATCTCGCGTTGTACATCCAGGTACACAGGGACTTACGCAGGAAAATTAGGTCTATTTTATGAAAGTTTGCTCAAAGTTCTGGCTAACCCTTTTCCAATGCAGCATTTTGAACTGGGCTGGCAAGTCAGCTGAGGCTGTTACGTTACAGCAAGTCAGAAGCACAGTATATTGAAGCGGGCTGCTGGTCCAGATTGGAATGTCATGCCAGTGGGTTTAAAAGTCTTGCCTTACGTCCAGTTCTCCTTCATCCTTTACCACTTCTACCATGTTTCCCTGCTTGCCCCTTTCATTTCTCCTCCTGGCCGCAGGCGCATTAGGCTCTCCCATGCATGACATGGTGCTTTATCCCTCGAAGTACGTGCGGGATCCCTCTGGAACGTTCAACCACACCCAGGACTGGCACAGCTCGACCGTCGTAGTTGACATCGACTTTCCAATCTTCAATGAGCGGCCCGTGGTGAGTTTCTGTCGCGTGCACCCTTCTACAGGGCTAACATGCATGCCCAGTTGGAGGAGATGAGAAGAGTTCAACTAAAATACCAGAATGCACCAGACGTTTTGGCTGGCAAGAACCTCGTGCCGCTCCCATATGCACTTTCAGATCCCGGGCTCGACGCCCAATCAGACGCGGCATTCACCGATACGACGAGCGATCTCTCCGGTTTTGCGCTGTCCGGATCAACCTCAACCTTACAGCAGGCAAACATGAGCTTCTCTGCAATGACTGCCGTCGCTCAGAGTGCAACGGACCCCCTGACAGACGAGATACAGGGGAACCTCGATATCCAGTACTACGGCCCACTTGGGTTTGGGCAGAAAACACAACAGCTCTCAGTGACCATGGATACGGGCTCTGCGGACCTCTGGGTCCCTGTGAACTGCAACGATTCCACGAACCCGCAATACAAACCTGCTACAAGTTCGACATACAAGAATACCGGGAATCCGTTCCAAGTGAATTACGTGCGTGTTCCTTCCATTATGCCAGTGCAGGCTTGATGTTGCTGGGCGACAGGGCATGGGCCATGTGCAAGGCACTCTTGCATACGATACGATCACTGTAGGTGGTTTGAAGGTCAACAAGCAATATTTCGGTGCTGTCACTCAGGTGTCGAGTGACTTCAACGACGACCCGATCTCCGGCCTTCTCGGGCTCGGTTTCAGCTCCATTGCGATGTCAGGGAAGCCAACGTTCTTCGAGAACATGATCATACAGAAAAAAGTTTGCGCACCATTCTTCTCTGTACATTTGACGAGAGGCAAGGCGAGCGGGTCGAAGGTACGTTGCGGTCTTGCTTTGATATGAGTGTATCGAGAGTAAATTTTTAGATAACCTTCGGTGATTACGACATATCCAAGGCGGTGGGACCTTTGACTTGGGTCCCAATTATTTCCAAGGTTGCTCCTCTTGCGCGTCCATGACTTTCATCTGACTGGTTGCTACTTGCAGACGTACTGGACAGTGCATTTCGACGGAGCTCTTGTTGATGGGAACTACGTATCCGGTGACCTCGATGCGGTAAGCTCAGCTCGTCAGCCGGATCTTCACTCAAGTTCACTTCATTTCCTTGCATAGGCGATTGACACAGGCACTACCTTGATATACGTCCCGCAGGCGTTTGCATCCTCGATCTACGCCAATGTCAGTCTCGCTATTCGTTTCTCTCATCACCTTACTGACAAGTCATAGATAGCCGGGGCTGGCCCCTGCAGTGAACTATGGCTCCAGTTTCTTCTCGTTTCCATGCGACTCCAACCCCACGGTTTCATTCTCGCTTGGCGGGCACGACTTCGGACTCAGTATGCAGGACTTTAATCTCGGACGAGATGCGGACGGGTCTGGGTAAGTCAATGCGTCTTCATATAATGCACGTCTCCTGAGCGAGCACAGAAACTGCATCGGTGGGATCGTCGGCCTGGGCGATAAATTCATAGAAAACTTTGCCATCATCGGTAAGTCGTTTGGGTACTTGGTTGAATGTTTTATTGATGTCGCGCGATGCAGGGGATGAGTTTTTGAAATCATGTGAGTAGTATCTTGTTTGCATGCCGTTTGATCTGGAACACTCGTGGTTACCATTATCCAGGGTACTCGGTGTATGACTACTCGCACGGGGCGCGGGTGGGTTTCGCGCCGAGCATTAATAATGCGCAGTAGAAGATTTGGCTTGATAGCTTCATCGAGGTATAGCGGGTCTTAGTTTGGAAGAGATGGTGGATAGCGGTGGGACAGGTCTGCCGGAGTAGACCATATCTAGATACACCCATAATATTAATGTAAGGACGGAGCGTTTGTCTTGGGCAAGTGACCAGATTGCTTGTAAATGACCTTGAATCTTGTGAGACTCCTCCGCACTACGAAACACTACGTCGGAGAACACGGACTGTGATCTAAATGAGTGTGATTTCGTCCAGGCCTCACAATCTCGAGTGCCGCAGTTCAAGCAACCTCAAGTGCGGCAAACTCGTTTTTCATGCATTTTTATTTCTTGCCCACAGAAATTCTACTGGAAATATTCGGTTTAGTCTATGAAAATAGTAGACTCTCGTGCTACACTGTACTGGCAAGAACCTGTAGAAGATTCAAGGAGCCTGCACTCAATACGCTTTGGAACAACATAAATGGGTTCTGGCCACTCATCTTATGCTTGCCCGAAGGTGTCAGTAACAGAAACATGCGAGAGAAGTTGGTGAGCGAGCCAAAATTTACATGGGATTCATACCATATTGAATGCTCAAATAGACACTAAAAAGACCTCTCTTAGAGGGAGACTGGAGACATTGGTCGATATTCGCAACGTATCCGCTCCTTGATGGTCTGCGACGTTGACCTATACGACATAGACGATCGGATTGTACAAGCACTCTTTTCCGCGCCGTCACCGCGCTTGCTGAACCTTCGTAGTTTGGTTTGGTGGGATGACCAAGAATGCTACTCTCCGTTGTTGTACACGCTCCTTAGGTCAACCGTCAGTGTCACGTCGGTGGAGTTGAACTTTAGTTTCTCCACCCCTCCCCCTCCTCTTTTGCCAAATCTGCTTTGTTAGCTTCCCTCGGAGCTCGATGTCCATCCTATTCGGGAACTCGATTGCGAATATAGCGGTGAATCCGAAGAAAGCTCCGATACGATAATCAAAGCTCTATGTAGCTTGCGAGAGCTCTTCCGTCTTGAAACTGAGGTCCCGAACACAAGCGCTTCTTCAATTGGCTTCTTTACCGGCGCTGAAGTCTCTCCACGTCAGCCTGAGGACGTACGATATTTACAAGACGCAATCCAATTCCACTTCAACATTTTCCTCCCAACTCGATCAGCTGCGCATCACTTCATCGTCACATTCGATTCTCACTCACTGTCTCAGAAAAGTCCGTTTTCTCTTCTGTCGATCAGTGAGGTTGCGCGTCGGGTTCATTCGAGTCATTGGTATGGACATCCCGTATGATCCACTGGATGTTTCAGACTTCATTGTCTCCTTCTCGGAGTGCTTCTCTCCCACCCTTGCGAAACTCCATGTTGACTTCGATCTCGGCCCCATTCACAGATCTGCTAATTCCGGGTTCGCTCTTGGCTTTGACACGCTTGCCCCATTGCTGTCGTTTAGTCACTTAAGGGACTTAGACCTCGATTGCATCTGCACTTCGGCCATCAGTGACGCCTCACTCAAGACCATGGCACGATCCTTGCCTCAGCTCGAGAATTTCTACTTTGGATGCGGGGCTCGTTGGCTGGTCCCACCATCTCTCATCTTCATAGGACTCGCCCACTTCATACATTATTGCCGGTACTTACGCAGCATTGGAATGCCCCTTTCCGCATGTGCAGTAGACACCGACAGCGAGCCTTTTTCTGAAACGATTCCCAACGAGAAGATCACCATAATTTTTTTCCGATCGTCGATCTCATTGCCGTAGCCTGTCAACTGGATACATCGCTGCCCAAGTTGACCACCGTATGGATCCTCCCCTGGCTGCATGATTGGCCCGCGCCACCCCCGTTTGGACATTTTGAGGATGAATGGAGTAGGGCAAACGAGGTGCTTACTACAAGCGCAACAATGAGGGAGATTCAGGAGTCCATTTTGCCAGTCTGACTTGTTCTGGACTGTGATTACAAGTACATACTGCGAAACTATATATCCGGATAATATCCGTCCACCTAACGTCTACATCCAGTCAACGCCAACGCGGAACTTTCGTTTCGTACACCGGATACATTGTAGATGTAGAACTACATTTTCGATCAAGATGAAATTCTGAAATTCTGAAATCATCTGAGATCGCACGCAGTGTTCCCCTGCCACTCGTCTCACTGATTTCCTCCTTAAACCGCCTCCGCTCATTGTCCGCCAGCAACGCCTATTACTTACATTTTCCAGGGTACTTGATGGATGACTACTCGCACCGGATGCGGGTGTGTTTCATGCCGAGCATCAATAATGCGTAATAGAAGATTTGGCTTGATGCCTTTATCGATATACAGTGGGTCTTAGTTTGGAAGAGATGGTGAATCAGGTCTGCATGAGTAGATGAGATAGCTGTCCTTATCATTACTTGGCGGACTCCGAATTACACCAAGATTACACGATATGAACGTGAAAATGTGTTCATTGTGAGGTCAAAATGTGTGTTGCACAGGAAGTGATATCGATGTGATCCTCGGAAATTGCCTCCAATGTGAGGTATGACAAGCGCCTAGTCCAATTCTGTAAACACCATCAAGTGGTCAAAAAGTGAAGACGATGATGCCAATCTTCCTGGGAAGGAAGTCTACAATCTGCTCACAGGGCAGTGACAATCTGGTGATAAATATGACTCACTGACCTTGAGCCCCTGAAAGAAGCTGTTTGTCAACAGCGTCACCTACTTCAATGTCGTCATGTACGGCGAGGTTGAGGAGCACCGAAACACGAAATTGCCGCCGTAGTTCTCAATATCGATCGCTAAGTGAGGAGATGGCACGCATCCTTTGAGCAGATCCAGAGCTATATATATATACCCTGCATCCCTTCTCAGAGACCGATCAAAGAACTTTGCTCCGTGAAGTTAGCATGACCACTTTGCATCACCATCAAGTTCACCTAGTAGGTCTATTTCCGGGCTTGACTGCTTCCTCGTCCCTAGCACCGGGAGCTACTGCATGAGCTGTATCCGGACATGAACTACAAGGTGACCCAACATACCGTGGATATAACTTGAAGTAATCGAAGTATTATTCGTGGGTATGCATTAAGATGCTCGAGATCCGCGAGAGGCTGCCACATAGTAGGTTCACATGATGCTGTACGTTGGCCGCTAAAATCATTCATACCGAGAAGTGGGTGTGTCGTAATACATCACCAGGACAGGATTAAGGCTGCCAGACAAGGTAGAGACTGTCCGCTATTATGACAGCATATGGATCACCATGAGGGGCTTTTTTGTTGCTGTGTCGCAGCCACGAGGCAAAGTTAAATTACCTGTGCACTGATGCACATCAATTAGAGGATGTGGAAGAAGTTAATGATTCGGACGCAAGCCGAATAGTACGCATTAAGAACGATACGCCATGGCATTAACCCGCAGCAGAAAGAGAGCATGTGACGGCGTGACGGCTAAGTATATATGGAAATCTCGATTATCGGCTGTCCTTTCACCTCAACAACCCAACTGACTTTCGATGCAGTCTGATTCTGCGTCCACTCAGGACGAATTTTCGTCTCTTCCTTCAAGACCACCTCCTACTTCAATACCTTCCCAGAGACCAGCGCCTCGTCCCCCACCTCCTTCGGGTGGTGCTCCCCGTAATACTTTAAGTAATCTCCTTGCAAACAGAGGCGGAAATGCTCCAATACCCCCTGCTCTCCAAGCAAGAATGACAGCAGTATGTTTTTTACTCTTCGTCTTGCAGTTCACTAAAAAAATTCATTCCTGTGTTTGACCTGCCGTGTTCAGATGCTGAATCGCGGATCACCTGCGTCACCCGGTTCGGCCTCTTTCTCCATCGATTCTGCAGCACAAGTGCTCCAACGTGCTTCTGTAAACGAATCAAGCCATCCACCTCTTCAACAATCTCATTCATTTCCCGCTGTGCCACAAACGTCATTGCCTGCTCCACGCGCTCGTGGACGCGGTGGACCTGTTCCTGCTGCGGGTCGACGCGCTAAGCCAAATATGAGATTAGCTGACATCCCCCCTGAAACAGGAGGTGGTGCCTTGGGTGCAGGGCTCGGTGCAGGGCGTCCGTCTCTGGCTGAGGCTAGGAGAGGTCCTTCAACATTTGACACCCCCTTTGCAAATTTCAATAAGATCGTGTGCGTATTTTTCTCTGTTTCTGCTACCATGAGCTGAATCCGAAATTTCGTCTTTGTAGTGATCCATCTGGTCGCCTCAACTTTGCTGGAAAAGCCGTTCTCCACGCTTCTGGTGTCGATTTTTCCAATGGATCATCTTACACAATCAATATGGAGCAGCTCGTTCTGGAGCAAGAACTCGGCAGAGGCAACTATGGCACTGTAAAGAAGGTTTTGCATCGACCGACAAATGTTGAAATGGCTATGAAGGTTCTACCCCTGACACGTTTTTGATCCCCCTTTTCTAAATATTGCTTTCAGGAAATTCGCCTCGAGCTAGACTCCACTAAACTCAATGGAATACTGATGGAATTGGACATCCTGCACCGTGCCATAAGTCCATACATTGTGGAATTCTATGGTGCCTTCTTCGTGGAATCGTGTGTGTACTACTGCATGGAGTACATGGATGGTGGTTCGCTGGCTTCTTTGTGCTGCTTTCCGAATGGTAACGTTTCTCTGCCGCCAAGTTTATCGACCAGCCCAGGATCTACATGGACATCTAGCCCTCCTCCACTTGCCGATGAGCATCTTGGACGCATTGCTTCATCCATGACGCATGGGCTAGAATTCCTCAAAAGCGAACTTGGAGTCATGCACAGAGACGTCAAACCTACGAACGTTCTTGTGAATCGCAAGGGTGAAGTGAAACTTTGCGATTTCGGCGTTAGTGGACAACTGGAGAAGAGTATTGCACGGACGAATGTCGGTTGTCAAAGCTATATGGCTGTAGGTTCTGATTTCGACCAGCATTGAACTCTGCTGATCATGTGCTTCTACAGCCCGAGAGAATTAAGGGGTCTTCACCATCGGGATCTAATATGGAAGATGCCTTCACATCATATACGGTCAGTGCGGACGTATGGTCTTTAGGCCTGTCGATCGTTGAAATTGCACGAGGAAGGTGCGCCCCAGTTGTTATAATCGTTGTAGTCTTTGGCACAGAATTCACCGATCGAATAGATACCCATACCCTCCGGAAACCTACGAGAACGTATTTGCGCAACTAAGTGCCATAGTGGACGGCGAGGCACCTGGACTGCCCGAAGACGAAGACGCTACAGACGATGAAGCCGAGATTCGCACTAAAGATAATTCGTTCTATGGCGCATCACCAGGACAGAGCAGCTTCATGCGCAAGGGAAAGCGAAGGTGGTCTCCAGAGGCGCGTGACTGGGTTCGACGGTGCCTCATCAAGAATGCAGATGAGCGAGCCACTTACAAGGAGTTACTTGAACATCCGTGGATGCAGACGGACAGACAGAGAGAAGTCGACATGGTGAGTTGGGTAGCCAAAGCAATTGAATGGCGAGACCGAGGAGGGCGATGAGCACGTGTAATGGAATGAGCATCACACTTTCACAGTACTGGTCGTTGCCACCTCGCTGGTGCCGCGCGCCCCTATGCATCTTCATCGCGCATTGCCTTCTCCTCGACGCATACCACCATCGCTTTATCCGACATTCTCCTTCCTCACATGTATTATTCACATCCACTCACACTCGTCCATTGACGCTGGTCGTTGATATACCCTATTCCCCCTTGCTATGTTGATGTTGTCCATTATTTCTCGCTATCTTGGGATGACAGTAGGCTGTTATATTGTTGCTGTTTTGCGGGCATGTAGCTTTAGATTTTGTTTTGTTTTGTTTTGGCAATTAATGGATTGTTTTTGCCGGTTATTTGGTCGTGTTAATATCTAAAGGTGTCACAACGTCACGTCTGCTAAGTAGCTTGACTTAATAGCTTGAAGCATAATTTTGTGTTTTAGATTATCGCGGCTCGAGCCGAATTTCAAGCTGTCGTCACTCCACCCAGGTAATCGCTCGTCCTGCAACCTGTTGTCTAATCATAAACTTACATTTTCCAGTCATCCTCAGCTTCGTGCTGTTTCTTCGCGCGACGTACTCTTTTTTCCGCGGCGTACTTTCCCGGCAGTCCAAGCATCCATTCTCTGCCATGATTCATGTCAAATGGGACCGGGAGACCCTGCATTTTCCTTTGCCTCCTCCGGAGACTAAGCTCGGAAAGCTGCGGACAGACCTAGCGGAATATACCCACCTTCCTCTCGATTCCTTCAAGCTCATCCACGCCGGAGCTGTAATGAAGGATGATTCTGCGCCACGTATGTAGAACCATGCATGTTTTCATCTCGGCGCCTCAACTTACCGTTTCTCAGTGTCGGCTTATAAAATACGCGAAAACTCTACTATTGCGCTAATCGGTGGTCATTCCCTTCCATCTGCGCCGACGGCTGTGCCATCGTCCAGACCATCGCAACCCAAAGTGAAAGAGCCTCCAACAGAACAAAGCACCATCAGTGCCATCCGAACTGAGCTCGAACGTGTACGGGCAACGCTGGCACCAGACGTTGACGCGTTGATTAGCGCTCTTGCTCAATCCGCAGCCACAACCACATCATTTAGCCCAACACCCGAATCAGGAAGCGCACCGCCGCAGTCATTTAGCTCCCCTGCACAAGTTCCTCCATTCCCCCCTCCCTATCCTACGCCCGTATCCTATTCATCGAAACCCACTTCACAGGACCACGCGCGTTTATCCGAACTTCTCCTGCAGTCGTTGCTGCGTCTTGATGCTATGCACCTAGCGGGATCGGATTGGCCTGATGCTCGAGCTGAACGCAAAGCTGCTGTTCGTGAGGTTCAGGGGGTGCTTGACCGGCTGGATGGGGCTTGGTCGGCGCGGTGAGTGCTGACACGTGTATGCATATGTATGCTAGCCTGGGATATATAGACGGGAGCTAGCGAGATCCACTATTAGATGATAGGTCTTGGACTCCGGATAGCACATACCTTATACAGTGGAATTTTTGATTTTTATCCTCATGGTTCCACGCCTTGTCAACCCATGCAAATCGCACTGTGCCTTGACAGACCGAAAGAGTCTAAGACAGATCCCGACTTCGAACTCACTCGAACGATCTATTTTCATTTTGACAGACTGCATATAATTGACCACCAATCAAATGTGAGGAGTTTGATGCGTGGTTCCTCGTGGCGTGGCGTGCTGAACAGGTGTTTTAGCTTGCCCTGGAACTTTCCTGATGGCAAAGAATTTTGCAGGGATCACTGCAGATATCAATCGATGCTAATCATATCTCCAAAGCTCAGCGGCTCATCGCGAGTCTGCTTGACACACCACGGCTCTACCGCATGGTCTCAGTTGAACTGATGATCGGCTTTTTTATTCAGTCATACGGCCTCCGTTATCATGAGTGCCGTTTACCGTTACGAGACGGTCCAGGATGATCCGTTGCTCCCCGTCGTACAGTGATTGTTGGACTTCGTGCTGAAAAATTTGACACCAGAGCGAGAAACGAAACACGGTTGCCGCTACTGACATGGAACCTCTTAGGAACTGGAACTGTCGATTCTGCACAACAACTAACTCATATATTTGACCCTATTGTTTTTCTAGGTATAGGCTACAATTTTTATCCTTGTGATGGTGCTCTATCCAGATGTTCAAAAACGCGCACCAGTGGATGCCGTTGTAGGATCTAAGTATATGACGGACTTTGCAGGCAAGCCAGTCGTCCTTGACTTATCTTGAGGCTTTGTAGGAGTTCTGCGCGACACTCCACCGTACCCCTCGGTTTGTCCGTAATTTGTTTACTCGTGCACTTACTCATTTGCGTCGCAGCTGTTCAGGGATCCTACAGCTAGCAACCGAGAGCGACGTCTTTGAAGGATACTTCATACCCAAAGGCATCGACGTTGGTCCTTGACCTTCCGGCTTATTGTACTTCAATGTACACAATACCTAGTGAGGGTTTGATTCCTCTTTGCTCGTGTTCACTGAACCATGATGGCGAGGTCGGCGAAATACGCTTCATCTGACCATTTTATTCCCGAAGGTTTCTTGACCTCATCGGGAACCCCGACAGAAGACACTCTGAGACTCCTTCAATGAGTACCCTGCCCTTTGACAGAGGCCATCTCGTGGTGCTCACTGGAATTACTTGGTTATCGTCACACTTTTGGACGATGCGAGTTCTCCAAGGTCGACCCCAACGTCAAAGAAAGTGACGTGAATTGGATATCTAGCGTGACAGTGAGTAGTCCAGCGGTACTCGAAATCAATCGAATGCTAAATCAGAACCAGGGAACCCCTTCCATGCACTCCCATGCAAATTAACTCGACTAACCTGAAGGTCTCTCCCCTTCAGCAAGGACAAGGACCACATCGTATACCACCTATATATATTATCCACGCTGCTGCCCACACTTACGTCGTAATTATAGATACACCAAACGTAATGATATTCTACAAAAATGTTGACCTATCTCCCGATTTGCTCCCGGTGAACGATTGAACAAGTAAATGGCGGCTGCACGTCTTGTACAAGAAATTTGTTAGGGAATCATGAACAACCACCTACCACTCGACGTGCCACGATACATTGCTAGACAAATCTTGAGAGGACAGAAATATTTACATAGAGTAGGCTGAGGAAAGGAACGCAAGAAAATTTCCGTAATCAAATGTCATTACTTTCGCAAACAACTCTAAGACGCCTTCAAGTTGGGGCGCTACCGGCTGCATGCGTTTTAAGGAGCCGCCGTCAACGCGCAAGGGCCCCAATCCTTTTCTTTTTCTCGGTTTATCTGTGGCTTCCTTCGGTATCTTCTTCTACATCGTCAAACGTAGAGAGACAACATATCCGGCCTCGAAGCAACCTAGACAGCACGACAACCCTCTTATTCCTCCCCGGCACCGAGAACAATAACTTGAAGCTAAATCAAATCAACATGGCGGAATCCAAATCATCGCCCGTTTTTGATGCTCAGAAGGTCACTGTAATTTATGTCCTGGGTGGACCTGGAGCTGGCAAGTTCCCACTCAGAAACCAACCGTCGCGCATACGCTGGTCTAATCAGTGTCATAGGGAAGGGCACACAATGTAGCAAGCTCGTCGACGCGTTCGGCTTCTGCCATCTATCTGGTCAGACCTCATCTTCTCTCCTTCAGGGCTGACGCGAATATGGAACCTAGCTGGAGATCTTTTGCGTGAAGAACAGAACCGAGATGGGTCCCAATATGGTGAACTGATCCGAACCTGCATTCGAGAGGGTACTATCGTCCCATCTCATGTCACCATCAAGCTTCTTGAGAATGCCATGACTGAAGAGGTGAAGAAGAGGACGGGAGATGGGTGGACGGATGGCAGGGGTCGATTTTTGATCGATGGTTTCCCTCGGAAGTTGGATCAGGCTGTTGGATTCGATGAAACAGTGCGGAAACACGTTTCTCCTTTCACCGTGCCACACCACTGATTTAATATCGTCCAGGTATGCCTTGCTTCATTGGTCATCTTCTTCGACACAACCGAAGATGTGATGCTTGAACGCCTGCTGGAGCGCGCAAAAACTAGTGGACGTGAAGACGACAACGTTGAAACTATTAGAAAGCGTTTCCGTACGTGAACGAATGCCAACTCATGTTTGTCCCAACTTACATTGAGATCAGGCACATACAATGAGCAAACCATGCCAGTCATAGAATATTACAAGACGCTGGACAAGGTTGCAGAGGTGAGCAAACGTTTATCTATTTTCCTCTGGTTCTCAGTCTTAGATGCGCAGATCGATAGTACGGTATCGGTTGAGCAAGTCTATCGTGTGGCGTCTGCCACTGTTAGCAAGTTGTTTTCTTGAGTTATACCTAGAATACCTCCTTAGACACGGAAATCTCAATACCTTTTGTTTGCGACTTCAAGGGCCGTTGGGATGGGGATCACCAGCACCCTCAAGAAAACTGGAACCTACTAGGGTTTATTGACACTAAATACTCTCGGGCAACGCACTGGTTTCAGTTGCCCTGCGTGTTCTGGAGTACCACCGATGTACTTGTCTTAAGCGCACCGAACTCGCTGTTTTCCTATCTCGATTCTCCGATGCCGCAAAGTGTCCCGATTCGAATGTACGACTCTAGGTTTGACTCTAACTTGACAGAAGCCTCCCCAGTGACCATAGTACGAAGAAGATCTTGTGCCTTTCACGGATACAGCTCGTACTGGATTGTGCTATTACCGCAATGCTTCTTGATGTAACCGTCGTCGTCGTTGCCTTGAATCCAAACTTAATATCCTTCCTGAAACTACATGAATATCACGAAGAAGCCAGAATCTTGTGTTTGCATGACGATAGTAAATGAACCGACTCAAGCCAGCATAGATAAGTAGGTTGTGCTCATCCAGGAAGTACGCAGAGACCTGTCAGAGTTTCATGATATGCGGGCTGATGTAATTGTTTTAAAGGCTTGCCCTAAGCTGTGCGTGATGTGATAAACGGTTCATTGTATTTCCTACTATCAATAATGTACATGCTTGTTCGATGCTCTTCGATAGATATATAGATGTATATATATAAGATGATGATGATATTATGGATGTCAAGCAGACGCATCCGCACTTAAGCTTCAACGCTGGCCGTCTACAAGAACATGTCAGAAAAGACCAACCAGTTAAAGGTTTAAATAGGTACTCACAAGCCTTGGTCTCGAACTTGCCGACACCAACAATGATGTTTTGAGGCTCCTGGGGCTTGCCAGTGAGGTAGTTCTCGATGATGCTCTTCGTCCCGTTTGCATAACGAGTCTGAGCATCGAGAGTGGTACCAGAGTAGTGGGGCACCATGCCGTTACCACCCCCAAGGACGTTCTTAGCCGTGCGCAACACGTGGTCTTTGGGTGCGGGCTGGACGTTCCAAACATCCCCGGCGTAACCTGTTCTCGTGTTAATTCGATATCCAGATATCGGGTGGTGGCATCACGAACCGTTCAGGTGACCGCTTGCAAGAGCAGCAGCTACGGCGTCCTTATCGCAGATGGCCCCACGAGCGGTGTTGACGAGCCATGCACCCTTCTTGAAGTGCTTGAGAAGCTCAGCGTTCACAAGACCAATCGTACCCTCGTGCAGAGGGCAGTTGACAGTCACAACGTCGCACTGCGAGACGAAGTCCTTGAGGTCCTCTACGCGGCGAGCATTGACGGACTTAGCGGCAGCTGTAATTGCATCAGTGAAGCTGGAGACGAGCGAGTAACAGACTGGCACGAACCTTCAGGCAGGGGAGCGTAGTCGTAGTAGATGAGCTCCTTGCAGTCGAAGGGCATCAAACGCTGGAGGACGCGGTAACCGATACGACCAGCACCGATGGTGCCAACGACCTTGCCCTCGAGATCGAAGGCGTTGCGAGCAATATCAGAGACCATCCAGTCTCCGCGCTCGATCATCTAAGGATGGCGACAAATCAACACAGGGAAGCGCGCGTCAGCGGGTCGTCATACCTCGTGTGCTGGAACAAAGTTCCTGACGAGCAGGAGGATAGACATCACAACGTGCTCAGCGACGGAGACGACATTGGAGCCTGAGACCTCCAGGACCTGGATACCACGTTTGACAGCGGCGTTTAGATCGATGTGGTCAGAGCCGACACCAGCGGTCACACAGAGCTTGAGGTTCTTGGCCTATCAAGTGAACGAACCGTTCAGCATCAAGAATTCGATCTAGAAATATGATCATCATACCTTCTCAACCAGCTCTGCAGTAAGGTACCCGGGGTGGAATGGGGTCGTGATCAAGATCTCGGCCTAAGATAGGAAATAAGCACCCGCGGATGGTATATATAGCTACAGTGAGGTTTGGACATACATCAACGATGTGCTTCTGGAAGTCGCTGTCAGGGCCCTCCTTGGAGTCGGACACCTAAACAAATGGACGGATTGAGCAACTGAACCAGCATATCAAGAGGAGCCTCGACACATACGATGAACTCGTGGCCTTGAGACTCGAGCCACTTGCGAATACCGAGCTGTACGGAAAGTTGAAAGTAAGCACATCGTAGATGATGTATCATTCGAAACAAGACGGACCTGGTTCTCCACAGTACCGAGGAGACGGGGCTCGCTGGCAGCAGCCTCACCGCCCTTGTAAAGGATAGCGATAATCTGGAAGCGCGTCAGATCTTGTAATTGATGACAGGAGGTGCATCATCACCTTCATGACTGGGTTTCTGTGGACTGGAGAAAGTTATGTGGTTGTGAAAGGGAGGGTGGAGAATGGGTGTTTTCGTTGTCGAAAGTCCAGGATCTTTATAGGGGGGCGCCCTAGGCGCAAGCGGTCCTGCTGCGATCGGAAAACATCATCTGACTATGTGTGGACCTGCCGCATATCATGGTCTTCCGATTCTAGCCTCAAGAACGCGATATCGCCGTCCAGTTGACAGCTTCCATCCATTCGGCACCCTAATAAGGAGATCACGTGCTACGCACCCGGTCTCATCCATTTGCTGTTACCTATACTTGTGCACCCGGGTTGTAATTAGCGTAGATGGCCAAATATACTCACTCCCATCAGCGATGGTTCCGAAGGCAGGCGCTCGCACAGTTAACTTATTAGGTGCTTCGTTTAGCTGAAGCTGGATGAAGACGGCTCACAAAACACGAAGCCAATCGGATACCTCGTAGGAGCGGATATCAACGCTTCGCAGTCTGATTGGTCTTTGATGCAGGGATTAAGATAGCAATGATAGATACCTGAATCCTTCGAATCTACGTAAGGCTTGATACTAGTTTCGCCAGTTGGGGGAGGAGGTTCGGTTTTGTCGTAGCCGAGTGTCTTTAAAGGAAGAGAGCAGGTCGCGATCGAGACTTAGCACAGCAGACGCGTTTGATTTTTGGTCACGTGACCGGATAAACGTTACGCGTTTGATTGAAGTTCCGAGCTTTAAGTTTCGACCAAAAGCTCAACAAAAAAGTGAGGCTGGAGACTGAAAGCTGAAGAATACAACAACGGAGTTCTCGAGTGCGAGGTAGTTGAGATAAGTTTTTTGGCGCATGACCGTCGCTACCCAAACTATCAAGACACTAAACAGGGAAGTGGTAACTCGTAGTGTTGTTCTGGCCCGACTTGGGCTCAAAGCCCCGGCTGGGCCTTGCACATCGCTAGTGGTGAGCGGGTGAAAAGACTTTGCGAGTGAGCGCGCGAGGACGCGTCTCAGCTTAACGCCCTCTCTCAGCACTAGTTAGTTGAGCACGTGGCTCGCAGATCGCCCAAACTGCACTTGTACTTGCGGACGGGATCGGAAGGAACCATTTCTATACTTATACAGCAGAACGTCCAACATGATAATCGCTAGTAGCTTAGAGGTGGACCTGAAGTGCTGACGCCACTGGTACGAATCTTGGTGTGACTGTCCGAGCACTCAGACTCATCTCACGTTCGAACGGAACACTCCTCACCACACGCACGCATAATCACCCGAGATGACCATGTAGTAGGGATAGTATTATTTAGGCGAGTGTGTGGACCCGAACCGTTGCGGGTTAAACATGATGATGTAGCGAGAGCGAGACCACGATCTGATGTTCGATAGAAATGACGAGGAGGTAGTCCAAGTATGCTATCCTTCGAGGTCGCTTTGAGGGTGCTATAATGGATAGTCTAGATACCGCATAGCACCCCGGACCGCTCTGAATTTGGATTGTTCATTGGGATGTACGCCTGTGGATGCCTGCTAACCCTCTGATATAAGACAAGTAGTCTCCCCTAGCCAGACCTTAGACAAATGAAGACAGTTTTTCCTTCAATAAGACAAGCGACATGCATGTTATGGAGAAGATTATGCATACAGAGGCATGTCGTCGTAACTGCACGCTAACTAATCAGACGGACCTCAAAAGCAGTAAGTGCATGTCAATGCCGAGATATGATCCTTAGACATAAACGATTCAGAAAGACAACTTAATGGGCAATCAATTAATAACTCACCAAGCTCGAACGGGCTCGAACATCGCAGCAGGGTGCGTTAAACCAACAATATTAATACTAATGAGAATGCGTCCTTCGTCACGGGCCACGGCGGCTTCTTTGCCTAGTAGCTTTGCGTGTAGTTTGGCTAGAGAAGTTCGTCGCTGTTTGCCGAACGTCGTCGACGCGGGATCCAAACTTTTGAGCATCCTTTTCGGCATCAGTATTAGATGAATTGAATCGATTGTGAGTCACATCCATCATTGATCTACTCCGCTCAACCTGTACTGTTTATTTCGCGAGCGCTACTAATTGCTAGGCCTTGACTAGATCACTGTCCATTATCTGGACATACCCTGTTTGGTTCTGATATCCGAGTCAGAATTCGAAGCTCGAGTCACGCCTTAGATCAAGATTTTAGATATCACTTTAAAAGAATCGCCTCGCGCCAGGGCTACTCATACATATTTCACGATATTGCTGAAGTCGGGATACTAAAATGTCCTTCCCAAAACACGATAGTGCGTCGTTCTATGACTACGCCCGGAGATGTTACTCATCAGTGTCTTTTGTCTAGTAACCCAATCGTTCAACTTTCCAAAGGAGGAGGAGAAAGTGATTGCTTACTGGCGCGAGATCGACGCATTCCAGACTAGTCTGAAGCTGTCCGAAGGCAAGCCAGAATATGTCTTCTTCGACGGTCCTCCTTTCGCGACTGGTCTGCCTCACTATGGTCACCTTCTCGCGGGTACCATCAAGGTATGGGATCCTAGTTTATTGACAGTCGATCTACTAACGTATGCCTCATCGATCTAGGACATCGTCACCCGACATGCTCACGTAACAGGCCACCATGTCACTCGTCGATTTGGATGGGACACTCACGGTCTCCCCGTTGAACATGAGATAGATAAGAAACTTGGAATCACTGGAAAGAAAGACGTCATGGCCATGGGGATCGAAAAATACAATGCAGAATGCCGTGCCATCGTCATGCGTTACGCCTCAGATTGGCGCGTCACCGTCGAGCGCATGGGTCGATGGATCGACTTCGACAACGATTACAAAACGTTAAACACCCCCTTCATGGAAAGCGAGTGGTGGGCGTTCTCCGAGCTATGGAAAAAGGGTATGGTGTACCGTGGCCAGCGCGTCATGCCTTATTCTACGGGATGCACCACCCCGCTTTCGAACTTCGAAGCGGGGCTAGACTACAAGGATGTAAATGATCCTGCAGTCACCATCGCATTCCCGCTAGTGGATGATCCTAGCACATCCCTTCTGGCGTGGACGACTACGCCATGGACTTTGCCATCTAATCTGGCGTTGTGTGTTCACCCCGAGCTGACTTACATCAAGATCCGTGATGAACAGCACGACACAAATTATATCCTCTGCGATCAGCTTCTTGGAACTCTCTACAAAGACCCCAAGAAGGCCAAGTTCAAGCAGCTAGCATCATACAAAGGTATCGAAATGAAGGGATGGAGATACGTACCGCTCTTCGAGTATTTCACGGAACAGGTATGTGTAACGCCCTCCTTGGTTCGTGCAATTGCCGACTATCTTTTAGTATGAAGATCGCGCGTTCCGCGTTTTTGTGGATACTTATGTCACAGCAACGGACGGTACAGGTATCGTGCAGCAAGCCCCGGCATTCGGTGAAGATGACGCTCGCATTGCTATTGAAAATGGTGTCCTGGGTCCAGAAGAGATGCCTCCCTGCCCCTTAGATGATGGTGGCAAATTCACCAAGCCAGTCACGGATTACGAGGGCATGTACATCAAGGTTTGTCATCGTTCGTTGATCGAACTATTAGGCGGTGCTTATAGTTGGTCTTCAGGTCGCAGATAAAGAGATCATGAAGGCCTTGAAGGCGAAAGGTCGCCTTATTGTACAGTCGACCATCAAGCACTCCTATCCGTTTTGCTGGCGGTAAAACTCTCTGCCAAAATATTGATCTATCCACTGACTTCTTCCCCAGATCAGGAACACCTTTGATCTATCGTGCCGTACCATCATGGTTCATCCGCGTACAACCTATCGTGGATCAGCTTGTCACCAACAACCTGAACACCCTATGGTGAGCGCCTGTTCACTTCTGTACAAACTTTTATCCAACTCTGTACGCCAGGGTACCCCAAAATGTTAAGGATGGTCGATTTGGAAACTGGCTAGCTAATGCTCGTGACTGGAATGTATCCAGAAACCGTTACTGGGGCACACCACTACCTCTGTGGGCTAGCGATGACTACGAAGAAGTCAGTATCAGCGTCGTTGTGAATTACGGTACTAATCAGGGTATAGGTTGTCTGCATTGGCTCCATCGCCGAACTCGAGGAGCTGACTGGTGCCACTGGACTCATGGACATCCACCGCGAGAAAATAGATCATTTGACCATCCCTTCGAAGATGGGCAAGGGTGTCCTGAGGCGTGTGGAGGAAGTTTTCGACTGCTGGTTTGAATCCGGAAGGTATATTCGGCTCCTTCGCCATGCAAAGCATATTGATAACACGGATATTCCAGCATGCCATTCGCATCAGCACACTACCCATTCGAAAATAAAGAGTCTTTCCTCAAGAACTTCCCGGGTGACTTCGTGTCAGAGGGTATCGATCAGACTCGGGGTTGGTTCTACACGTTGCTCATCCTCTCAACTCATCTCTTCGGCACTGCGCCATGGAAGAATTTGATCGTTACCGGTCTCGTTCTCGCCGCTGATGGAAAGAAGATGAGCAAAAGTCTCCGAAATTACCCTGACCCTCATATCATCTTTGATCAATATGGTGCGGACGCTACGAGGTCAGTGCCAACCAAGTATATACTACTTTATGACTTATTTTGTCCCAGAATGTTTCTGGTGAACTCTCCCATCGTGCGGGGCGAAAACCTGCGCTTCCGTGAGGAAGGTGTCCGCGATGTTATCTCTCGTGTTCTTCTTCCCTGGTTGAACTCCGTTCGATTCTTCCTTGGCCAAGTGACGCTCCTCCACAAAACCACTGGCGTGCAGTTTATGTACAAACCACACGCCCCTGTCTCAAACAACGTCATGGATCGATGGATCCTTGCTCGCTGTCAATCTCTCATCAAACTCGTGAAGGATGAGATGGAGGCTTACAGGCTCTATACCATCTTGCCACGACTCCTCGATCTTATCGACGAGTTGACGAACTGGTACATCCGGTTCAACAGACGGAGATTGAAGGGTGAGGATGGCGAGCAGGACACGATTGCCGCTCTCAACACGCTTTTCGAGACGCTGTTTACCCTTTGCCGGACTATGGTGCGTCTTCAACGAGAAAACGCCGTGAATGACCATGCTGATGCTTCTTTGACAGTCCTCGTACACTCCCTTCATGACGGAGAACCTATACCAGACATTGCGTGAATATATCCCAGAGGATCCTTCCGTTCCCGATGCGCGATCAGTTCACTTCCTCATGTTCCCCGATGTCAAGGAAGAGTACTTCGATGAGGTGATCGAGCGCCAGGTGAAGCGCATGCAAGCTGTCATCGATCTCACTCGGTATATCCGGGAGAAGCACAACTTGTCCTTGAAGGTAAGCTTTATTTGTCATTATGAAAATCACTACAATTAAACTGCAATACAGACACCTCTCAAAGAACTCCTTATCTTCCATCCTGAGGAGCAGTACATTGCCGATGTACAGTCTTTGCAGCGGTACATCCAGTCAGAGCTTAACGTACGCGACGTGGTGTTCACCACAGACGAGGCCGCATGTGGTATTCGCTACCGAGCTGTCGCAGATTGGGGCACACTAGGCCGCAAACTACGCAAGGATCTCGGACGCGTCAAGAACGCGCTTCCCAACGTTTCCTCCAATGATGTCAAGGCATACATCGACTCAGGCAAGCTCACAGTTGATGGCATTGAGCTAGTCACTGGTGACCTGACGGTGCAACGTTACCTCGAGTTGCCACCCGCTTCTGATGGGCAGTACGCAACCCATACCGATAACGATGTCGTGGTCAGGCTGGATGTCCAAGTTCACCCGGATCTGATGGGCGAATGGCTTGCGAGAGAAGTCATCAACCGGGTGCAGAAGCTTCGAAAAAAGGCTGGCTTGCAAGCCACTGATGATCTGAATGTGTACTACCGCTTTGAGGAGGGCTCAGGTGCGGAATTGCAAGATGCACTGAAGGAGCACGCGGAAGTCATCGAGAAGACTATCCGTAGCGTGCCTGCTGATGTGAAAACTAGGAATGGTGGGGAGCTCGTGATTGAGGAGGAACAGGAGGTGGCGGACGTCAAGTTTATGCTGTTGCTGGTTCGGGCGTAGTTGTTTCACTGGAAGTAGACAAGAAGCGGATAACGGAAGCTGTACATTACCTGTTTGTGCATTTAGATTAGCGAATGCGAAGGTTTGAGATGCGAGAATAAAAAATGACAGAAAGGTACGGCGGAACGCGGGTGTGACTGAAGTGTGATGATACAGTGAGTTGCGGCTACAGATACAGGTGGTTTGAGGTTGTGTGGGTATCATCAGATGTTCATTTCTTGGTGGATCCAAAGCCACCGAAGCCCATGAGCTTCGCCATCTCATCATCACCGTCCATAGCAGAGTCTTTGGCAAGCGCAAGGCGAGCTTCCTCCTTTTGGGCCTGCTTTTGAGCTTTCTTCTCGGCTCGCCGAGCATCTTCTTTTGCCTTAACCTCTGCAAGCCGCTGATCGAAATCGAAAGCCTTGGCGGATGATGCCTCTTTGGTTTTTTCCCGCAGATATGCTATTCGAGCGCGAACTTGTGCGAGAGTGGAGCGCTCCACACGGGTCGTCTGACCTAGTTTCCTGAGATCTATGACATATGTTTAAAGACATACCACATGCGATAGTTATGTCAACATACGTGCTTTGCTATTAATGTGGTCCAAGTAACCCGTACTGTCCCGATAATTTCGGTTGCAAGTCTCACAGAAGAAACCAGGCTGCCCCGCCCCTCGTGCACCGGGATTCTGCACAACCATGGTTTTGCCTAGATTCTTGTCCAGTTCGAGAGAGCCCTCTCGGCGTTTCATAAGCTCTGTCGGCTTTGGAAGGTCCTCTTTGGGGGCCTTGCGGGGTTTCTTGCCTACATGACGAGGTAGTACCTGGTTTGAAAGGCGAGCTGTAGATATGGCGTACCTTGTTTCATGCGCTCCTCATTTTCTTGCATACGGGTCCTTTCTTCGTCGTCCTTTTTCCGCGCCCGTTCAGCATATTCTTCCTTATCCCATTTCTTCCTGAAATCAGTGTCGCCGGCCTTGGTGCCATATGCGCCAGTCTTCTCAGCCATGGTGGTTGGAATAAAAGGCGTCACGTGGTACCTAGTAATCCAACACTGCAACTAAATATTTACTTCCTGCACCGACATCCGCAGTGGCAGCCAGTACATATTGTCTCTCTTTCCATGCTTTGCGACTCTTGTCTATAGAATGGAATCGGGTGATGCAGTTTCTCTCGCTACTTCTTTCCCCCTCCCGTTTCGCGTGCTATTTCTGATCGGCTTGGGCATACTAGCATGGGCGATCAACCTTCACGGATTGCACCTGCTCGGGATTGATGCATCGTCAGCACTAGAGTTGCACTCCGGTCGTATTTTTTTGCCTACCACCTCTCCGCCTTCACGAGCACATTCGTCTGCACGAGTGTCTTATATGCCCGTATATCGTCTATTCATGACATATGCAACTTGGTGTTTTGTCGGATGGTCTTTCTTCAGACTCGCCACTCACTCGAACACTATACTTGTGGATGCCTTCAAATACATCCCTGCAGTATGCTCTTTGGGTGTACTAATAGCACTGATATGCCCGTACGAAATGTGTCAAAAACGCGAGCGAGATCTGTTCTTCCAGTAAGGGTGTCATTTTTATCCATTTACGATAGTGCTATAATTATTCCCTACAGGAGCGCTGCAAGATGCCTCTTCTCTTCGGTGAATAGCCCAGTGTATTTTTCGGACGTTGTCTTCGCAGATGTGTTCACGTCATTCGCAAAAGTCCTCGGCGATGTTTGGCTTTCTCTGTGCATGCTACTTCCAGGCGGGAGTCTTTTGTCTCTCCCATCCCTCGATGGCATATCTCAATGGATACTTCCAACCCTGATGAGGTATGCACTACTCACGCCAACTGTGCAAGTCTGTACTCACAAAGAGTCAGTTTACCGTACCTAATTCGCTTCCGCCAGTGCATAATTGAGCACCGGTCTCCTACCAACGCCAGTAAGCGACCCCTCTTTAATGCACTAAAATATGCATCGTCGTTCCCGGTGATATTCCTCTCTGCCGCTCAAAGAATTGTGGTCTTAGAGCTCGCAGAAGGGAAGGGTGAATCGGTCACGCAGGAGTCATGGCACGGTGAACATCCCTTATTTCGCCTATGGTAAGATTCTTAAATTTGACATCGTCAAGTGATGATACATTGATTATTTAGGCTTCTAGCTGCGCTTTTAAACTCGCTGTATTCCTTCTGGTGGGATCTAACCAATGATTGGGGTCTTAACCTTCTAAAGCCGCAACCTGCGGAGTCACGAATTAGCGCCCCGCGACCCCTTGTGTTCCCGTCTCTCCATTCGAAAGCCGCTTCCATTTCTGGCTCTCCCGATGTCACACAATCTCACCCATCTTCCAGTCACCAAGTTCTTGGTGGTGCAATATACCGTCATCAGTCATACCCTTATGGACTTCGACCAGTGCTCCTCTACCCACTTCCCGTATATCCCTTGGTTGTGTTCTTCAACCTCGTGCTCCGTATGACATGGTCGATGAAGCTCTCAAGTCATCTATATTCTCAGTCGGAAGGAAGTGCCCTTATGCTCTGGCTTGAGGTCGCGGAAATCCTGCGACGCTGGATGTGGGTCTTCATTCGGGTGGAATGGGAGGTCGTGAAGAATGCACAACACAGATCACAGACATCCAACAGCACTGCACCAGAGGAGGTTGAGTTGATGCCATCAAACCGGTCTGATCCTATGGATGATTAGGTACTCCGAATCAGAATGCTCGGGGTAGTATTGTATGTAGTGAGCAATCGGGTTCGCTGGTCAGGAACCATAATAATATACTAATAGATCACCTCACAGTATAGCTTTGCGGGCATCAGTTAATAATACCTCACAGAGGCTGACACCGACAATGGGGAGTTCCCATTGTCCTCGCGGGGACGCTCCGACACGGTCCGACACTCGCCTAAATGATACTATCCCTAGTCACACCTGTGAACAGGTCAACTCGGGTGATTTTGTGTGTGGTAAAGAGTACTTGTTCCGTACGAACGTGAGATGAGGCTGACTACTCGGATAGTGACATCACAACTCCCCCTCTAAGCTATTATTATCCTGCTCGTGAACTTGGACGTCCGCTGTATATAGCGTGAGTAATAGATGGTTTCTTGAATCAGATCCCATCCGCAAGTAGGCTCGTGACCAGCCTGGCGTATACTACCATGGATGCTCGAGTGGTGTAGCAAATTGACGGATAGTCAGACTGGTTACGAGTCTAATCCGCAAGTACAACTGCGAGCGCCTCTCCGGAACGACCGTTCTAAATGGCGTACTTACAAGTGTGCCTAAATGGATGAGACCGGGTGCGTAGCACGTGATCCCAGCGCAGATGGAATGGACGGTGACATCGCTTGCATTCCTTTCCTGAGGCTAGAACCGGAAGACCATGATGTGCAGAGAGCGGCAGGCCCACACATAGTCAGCTGATGTTTTCCGATTGCAGCAGGACCGCTTGCGCCTAGGGCGCCCCCCTATAAAGATCCTGGACTTTCGACAACGAAAACACCCATTCTCCACCCTCCCTTTCACAACCACATAACTTTCTCCAGTCCACAGAAACCCAGTCATGAAGGTGATGACGCACCCCCTGTCATCAATTACAAGATCTGACGCCCTTCTAGATTATCGCTATCCTTTACAAGGGCGGTGAGGCTGCTGCCAGCGAGCCCCGTCTCCTCGGTACTGTGGAGAACCAGGTTCGTCTTGTCTCGAATGATACATTATGTACGACGTGCTTACTTTCAACTTTCCGTACAGCTCGGTATTCGCAAGTGGCTCGAGTCTCAAGGCCACGAGTTCATCGTATGTGTCGAGGCTCCTCTTGATATGCTGGTTCAGTTGCTCAATCCGTCCATTTGTTTAGGTGTCCGACTCCAAGGAGGGCCCTGACAGCGACTTCCAGAAGCACATCGTTGATGTATGTCCAAACCTCACTGTAGCTATATATACCATCCGCGGGTGCTTATTTCCTATCTTAGGCCGAGATCTTGATCACGACCCCATTCCACCCCGGGTACCTTACTGCAGAGCTGGTTGAGAAGGTATGATGATCATATTTCTAGATCGAATTCTTGATGCTGAACGGTTCGTTCACTTGATAGGCCAAGAACCTCAAGCTCTGTGTGACCGCTGGTGTCGGCTCTGACCACATCGATCTAAACGCCGCTGTCAAACGTGGTATTCAGGTCCTAGAGGTCTCAGGCTCCAATGTCGTCTCCGTCGCTGAGCACGTTGTGATGTCTATCCTCCTGCTCGTCAGGAACTTTGTTCCAGCACACGAGGTATGACGACCCGCTGACACGCGCTTCCCTGTGTTGATTTGTCGCCATCCTTAGATGATCGAGCGCGGAGACTGGATGGTCTCTGATATTGCTCGCAACGCCTTCGATCTCGAGGGCAAGGTCGTTGGCACCATCGGTGCTGGTCGTATCGGTTACCGCGTCCTCCAGCGTTTGATGCCCTTCGACTGCAAGGAGCTCATCTACTACGACTACGCTCCCCTGCCTGAAGGTTCGTGCCAGTCTATTACTCGGCCATCTCCAGCTTCACTGATGCAATTACAGCTGCCGCTAAGGCCGTCAATGCTCGCCGCGTAGAGGACCTCAAGGACTTCGTCTCGCAGTGCGACGTTGTGACAGTCAACTGCCCTCTGCACGAGGGTACGATTGGTCTTGTGAATGCTGAGCTTCTCAAGCACTTCAAGAAGGGTGCATGGATCGTCAACACCGCTCGTGGGGCCATCTGCGATAAGGACGCCGTAGCTGCTGCTCTTGCAAGCGGTCACCTGAACGGTTCGTGATGCCACCACCCGATATCTGGATATCGAATTAACATGAGAACAGGTTACGCCGGGGATGTTTGGAACGTCCAGCCCGCACCCAAAGACCACGTGTTGCGCACGGCTAAGAACGTCCTTGGGGGTGGTAACGGCATGGTGCCCCACTACTCTGGTACCACTCTCGATGCTCAGACTCGTTATGCAAACGGGACGAAGAGCATCATCGAGAACTACCTCACTGGCAAGCCCCAGGAGCCTCAAAACATCATTGTTGGTGTCGGCAAGTTCGAGACCAAGGCTTGTGAGTACCTATTTAAACCTTTAGCTGGTTGGTCTTTTCTGACATGTTCTTGTAGACGGCCAGCGTTGAAGCTTAAGTGCGGATGCGTCTGCCTGACATCCATGATATCATCATCATCTTGTATACAAAACATATGTGTATCTGTATGTCTGTCGAAGAACATTGAACAAGCATGTACATTATTGATAGTAGGAAATACAATAAAATGTTTATATGAAGTCCACATCACGGAGTATCGCTTGTTGAAATATGACGCTGTAAAGCCCACTTAAATAAAGTTGCGCGATACGGCGGTCGAGTACGCGACACAACCTAAGAGTGCCTAGATGATCTTACGAGTGTGTCCCGAAAAGTATGTAAAGCTAAGTATAAGATTAGGGTAGGGTATCCGTATGGCAGGAGTGATGTTGACGTGGTATCTGCTACGCAGTGTAACGATCGGTGGTAGCAATGTTATAGTTCATCGCACAAAGCTTCAATGATGCGCTAATGATATTGAAGTAAGGTAGGGGTCTTGCGAATTCGACGAACATCACATGATGTGACCATAGTGTGACATGCTTATGAGACGACAATGCCGGAGCGGCAAACACTGTGCGGAGTCACAATTATGAGAGCAGTGCGGTAAGTAGCACAGCACAAACACACGGAATACCATCTGGGTAAAATGTGGGTAAAGTGTGAAAATTCACGAAAATATCATGATGTTTTCTGTTAGATCTTCTCGTCGGGCAATTTACCAGAAGTTACAGACTTTGCCTGGAATCTAACACATGTTTGCCTTACATTTTCCCCACAATTCACGCAAAATTTCCTTACATAGATACATTCACCTCAGGCTATAATCACGCTTCGACATAGCTTGAAAACATGCATAGCACTTCAGAATCGAATGCAGTGAGCTTGATTATATAGAAGAATGATACTGGAGACATTGCACATAAGGCGGACAAACTGATTGAGAGCAACGACATGTCAAACACCCCCACAATGTTCCGTGCAGTTGAGCCCTGAATACAACTTCAACTTTCTGACTCCTCTTTCATACAGTCCTCCAGCCGTACCAGCAGGCCATCCATATGGTGGAATGGTTGGTACACATGGTGTGGAGGCGCATATGTATCCAGGTGGTCATCCAGTATCTGTTCCGGCCACAACACTAGTGCCTTCCCGCTGTCCTGAGTTCGAGCGCCCATCTTCAGTCCTTCCTGTTGTTGATCCCAGACTCTCTGTTTCTGGGGGTGCAGGTCCGAGCGCCTTGACAGAGACCAATGGCGGATCTCAAAAGTTGAAAGTTTCACAAGTGTTAAGCCAGATGGCAACTATCAACCATTGGCTAGATCTTGCAGAGAATCAGGAACTGCAACATGCACAGGAAGTCCGTGCACTGGAGATGAGATGTGCTCAGCATGTCGAAGCAGTGAAGAATGAGATGAAAGCCGAGATAAGGAGCTTGAAGGAGTCGTTTGAGCAGAAAGTTGCCAGCATGGTTGCAAGTATCAACAGTCGCGTTGATGGAGGAGAAGCGGCTGATGCTGAGACTGATGAAGAGTTTGAGAGAGATGTCGAGAAGATTGAAAAAAGCGCCCTTGCATTTGGAGATAATGGTCTAAAGGTCCGCAGATCAGTAGAATTAAAAGGGAACATCGTAGCACTAACCATACTACACCATTTGCAGGCAGTTGTTCGGATTGTTTTTCAGATGCTGATGGGAATTGCCAAGCTTACTGCTGATGTTCTTCCTCCATACCCAAGTGATGATGACAACTGGCCGCTTGATCCTGCCACCGATGATTGTTTGATGCGGTTCTGCTGGACAGAATCTCATCAGCATTCTGATAATCACACCAATATCCTGCAGGTCATTGCTTACATTCGTCAGCATGGTGCTACCGTTTGCACTGGCAGCGGTCCTGCTCTTCGTGATATAAGTGAAGAGGATCTGCATGAACACGTCATCAAGAAATATCAAGAATTACAGAAAAAAAAGCGCAGCCACACCGGTGTGTCATCTGCGAATAACACAACTGCAATGGCAGGTACAGTCAACAACGCTCCTGTGTCTGAGTCAGCTGTAACAGTCGCAAAACCTTCATGATCTAAATTACAGAGTTGTGCAAGAGGCATAAGTCATCATATCATTATAAATATCATAACTGACCTGTACACCATAGAAACTTGAAGTTTGTATCCGAAAATTTGAGAACCTGCCAGAAGGGTCAGAGTTTGGGGATGAGAAGTATCGCATGGCACTCATGGAGTCCTTGATGTCACAAGATGAAGATGAGGTTGATGCACAGGGACAGAAGACTGGACATTTCATTTCCCATGCTGGAACATATCGGAGTGATATTGTAAGTACGATAACACCTGGCAAAATTGACACTCATGCCCAAACAAATTCAAGATGGTGAAGTTCTTGGCTGCAGTGGATGAAGCGGTGGACCCAAACCCACCTCCTTGCTTCACTGTTCGTGTTAAAGGTGATCCAAAAGAGCTTCCTATCTTAGCTGCCAAGAAAATCGAAAATTGAGTGCGCCAATGGATGGTATCAGCAGAGTGGCTTGCAAAAGAAGAAAACAAGAAGTATGACTTGCCTAGTTATATCCTGGATAATGGGTGCGCATGGGGAGATCCGAAGGATCCTGAGGAGATGGTGGCAGGCCAGAAGTGAGTCAAGGAACAGAAGAGGCTGATTGCATCGAAGAAGCGCGTGAAAATTGAGGAGATGGAGGTGAAGAAGAAGGAAACCGGGACAAAGAAAGGTAAAGGAAAATCAAAGATGATAAGCGACAAAGGGAAGGGACGAGAGAGCATGCCTGCTCTAGCACAGCCAGTAGCAAGTACTAGCAAAGCTTGTGAGCTGCCTCCTGCTGCAGAGTCAGATGATGAGTTCAGTGACTAGATATGCAGAAAAGTGCGCACCTCATCTACTCTCCATCTTCGTCTTCTAAATAGTCTTTAGGTTCATTCCCTGCCTGCAGACTTTTTTGAGACTGTTGCATGAGAGTTATTTGTACACTTACATGGTCAAACGAGATGGTAATCCATAGATCCTTTTTGATAATGTTTGAGTACACTGGAATCAGTGCCAGTGGGCACTCAATCCATGAGACCAGAATCACTTCCTGAGGGCCCAGTTCAGCATAGGAGACATGAATACCGAGTGTAGATGCACTGAAAAAAGATGAGTGTTTGTATCTGCTAACAGAAAGACTTTACTTGAGGTCCCACGGCATTGCAGGAATGTTATCATCAGAAACTAATCTCCACACCACCGCACAAACATGAGGAACGACATTGAGAACATCGACCACAAATAGTGCCATGATCTGCACAGGGACATGAGTTCTACCTTGAGATATGAATGCAAATGAGTCGGCTTGCATGTGTCGATTCATGGTGCAGCCATAACGAATGCCATCCTTGTGAATGTATGTGAGTGCACGAGCTACCTTGTTCACATAGAAGGGGGGTGCCATTATTGCATGATAAATCGCCAACAAGGTTCAGGTCAGGCCATAGAGAGCGAAAGTACTGAAGAAGAATGGGGTAGAATACTCCTTGAGGCGAGCCATATGCACGGAGATTGATTAATTTGGCGTTATGGAGTGGTAACCTAATGTTGTCTGATGGAAAACAAGCATCAAATGACAGATTGGTGTGAGAACAACAAACACATACCTTCAGCAGCTTCGCTTTGATAAACTGCTGTCTGTGTCATCATACTTCCACGGTCTTGGGCTTGTACCTTGATGATGCGGTTGATTTGGTCTCATTCGAAAGAATGAGTGTCAGCGGGAAGAGCAAGAAGATACTCATAAATGAGATGAGTTTGGACCCAGTTCCATAAGAGAGTTAACTCGATCCGTCCTCTGTCATGACTGTTATGCTGAACACGTTCCAGCATGCCATTGAACTGCTCAAATGCAAAGAGCCACCAGCCATATACTGGACTGCATTTCTTGATCATTTCGGCTGTGTGCATGGAAGCTTGATGATTGATGGTGAGTGGGATGTGAAGCTGCAGACATTCTAGGCAGTAGTGGGCTAAGAAGCTCTGACCAGTGTGAGCCTGAGCCATTGAGATTGAGCAGGATGCCAGAATGTGGACTCCCATGCAAAGATGAAGTATGGCTTGATACAACAAGCAACGGTTACACGAGAAATCTGGGGCAATGGTGTTGGGTGGAAGAGAAGGCTCCAAGTCTGGTAATTTGTTGTTAACATCCCTCCAAGACCACCAGAGAATGACGGGGGTGATTGTTAGAATACGACACCACTCATCTGCCTTCTTGAGTGATTGATTTTCACCTAGCTGATTGAGAATCAATGTAAATCAACAATCACAGTGGGCGAAAATACATTTTTCAGCAATTGAGTGACATGGCTGGGCCATTTAACAGCATTCATGATATCTTTGAAGCAATGTTTTGGTGACTCGTTACCACACATTCCTGATAACATATATCCACCAAATAGTATGCACATAAATAGATGTGATATGATGCCTTAAACAGGCCATCAGTATTAGTGCTTGCAAGAAGCAAACACGTACCAAGGAAGATACAATGCATGAAGTCGAGCACTGACTTCTTCGATGGTAACCAGCCAGAGAGTAGATTGAGAATAGACCATCTGGCACCATGATCCCTCAAGATTGCTTCTTGACAAGCAGGACCAGCATCCCTGGAGTAGAAACTCTGATGGAGCATATGAAAATTGTCCTTCGCAGACCATGCTCTCCACCACGTATCATTCATATGAAAAGTAATGCTAGTGTTTGCTTACTGTTGTTGTAACCGTCTGGTGTGTTGATCTTGACAACATCAGCATCACAAAATGCACACGGATGGAAGTCATGACTGTGGCCAGTCGTTCCATTGCACTTATGTGAAGCCGGCATATCGCACACAAGGACCTCGTTATCTGAAAACACATCTGCAACTTCTTCTTCTCCATAAACATCCATTTTCACGCCTGAGTATAATAACACAATACAAGTGAGCATACAATGAGTTATACCGTGACTGCATATCGTTCTTGAGGTCCATCAGCTCATGAGTCGAGGGCTCCAAGCAATGATTGATTTGCTGGATGTTTGCCTCCTTTGGACCCAGCATAATCGCAGCGCATATGACATTGACCTGCAAGAATTAGATGGGACCACTAGAATGCGGCCAATTTTCAAGTATTCCCATCCTACATAATATCTAAGTAGGTGTTCAAGACACGCAATAAGACAGGTTTAAACTCACCAGTCAATATTCAAGGTCAAATGCAGGCCATATCGATGTTCGGTAAGCTTTGTCACTGTTGGTCTATTATCCAGGTCCTGAGGGCGGTCATGGACGGTACCTAATTCACCAATGTCACGGACAGTGTTCGTCTCGAGTTCATGCCATAGTGTGCCATTATGAATGTCCGTCATTACATAGTCGTTGTCATCGTTTCGTCGTGGCTGGTCTTGTCGGCTGTCTTGAATCGATTTTGCAAAACCAGGTCGCATGAACATCCATCGAAGGCTTCCAATAAGGGATACATGCGGCATTATTTTTCTCGTGATCTGGATACACTTGCCTTTCGCATCTGTACGTTCATTGTATAATATTCCTGGGCAGTCCGGAACAGTACACTTGGGAGACAGAAGCTCTTTGAGTTGATTGGGTGTAAGATGCTTCCAGCACTCAGGGCATATTGTGTATTGAGTGACCCATTGGTCAGGATCGATGCCAAGTTGATGCTTCGCACTCAAGAGATGACAGACAGGCCATGGATGCTTGGGTAATACACCTTTGAGAAGCATACAATTTAGCTGATTGTTGAGAGCGTCCGTTGCAGCTTGGATGCTCTGCTTTCCTGAAGACGTTCACTATGACTGTGTTGAGGTAGGCAAGACGGACACCCAGACGTTCTTGGAAGGCTTGTGGAACAAGGGACAGCCGATCCTCCTGATCTTGATCACTGCCGGGCACTCGCACATCAGGCCATGCCACTGGACAGAAATTGAAGTCTTGAAGCGACTGGTTGCCAGGTACTTGGTGTCTTCTTGGACACAGGATAGGAACTGGATGATCATATGGCTCCCCTGCAGGTAGGTTGTCATCTATAAAGTCAAAGTTGTACTCGTTTTCTTCGACATGTGGCAATCAACCCTGTGGTCTCTCTTGGTTGTTGTTAAGGTCATGCTCAAGGGAGAGGTTACTCAAAGGGCTTCGGCTTCAGCTCAGTGCGCTGTGCCCCTTACCCGAGTACATGTGCCCTTAATTTCTGGGGGACAGAGGGGAAGTCTGACAGGAAGTCCAGGGAATTCCTGGAGGACAGAAGTTGGTGGAGTTCGGCGGAACTCTGGAAGACTATGTGGGGGCGGAGTAAGGCTACTATGGAAGTCTGGAGTAGAAACAGAACAGAGGTTAGACTACCCTAAGGTAGAGCCGGAGAAGTAGTCCTAAGGTTTAACCCCTAAGACTCGGAGGTGGACAAGAGATGAGACTCAAGTCCGGAGATTGCAGGAATGAGCAGAACTAAGATGATATTCGAACTGAGGAGTTCTGGAGTTTTACAGGAGTTTATATACTGTAGGTATCATGTAAGTAAATCAGTCAGCACAGTAAAGGCTATGTCCGAAGCATATGGAGGGTCTATTAGTAAGTGTACAACGGATCAAGGAAATGAGGTTGGAAATGAAGTGCCAACAGATGGATCAGTAAGCAAAGCGGAAAGGTGTACAACCTGGTAACCTGGAGAGCAGTGTTCTAAAAAGGAGATAGGTGTAAGTCCGGAGATGAAAGCGGAGTGCCGGGTGGAACAGGACAGAGAACCTGGACTTTCATAGGGCAGAATCCAGAATTCCGGATCTGGAGGTATGGGATATAGTGTCGGAGAAAATAGGGGTAGTGTCGGAGGAGCAGAATAGAGTCGGGTGGAGGTAGCAGGGCTAGTCCTGCTGAAATGCACTTTGTGCATTGTCAGAGAAGGAGGGATGGAGCGGATGGGGAAACAGAGGGTCGGACTAGTGATAGGGATGTTCACAGGTGGTATTGGAGGTGCTCAGGATCCGGTATATGACAGTTGTTGCCTGGTACCTTCAGATGATGGCCTGGACAAATTGGTCATAGGATCCGTGCTTGTGTTGGCGCTGATACTGACCCTGGATGGCCGATGGTTGCACAACAGGGGGCCACTTCTTTGTATGTTTTGCAATAACCTGCTGTGTCTGGTACATGAATCCAGTCAGGATGCTGCGAGCAGCACGCACAGATGCACTTGAAGCGAAGTCCTGTTGACATGGTCAGTTACACTCGAGGACAACTGGGACATGCATGTATATAGTACAGCGCAGGACTTAGGCAAATTTGTGTGCGTGTCGGGGACGTCCCAGCCATGTATTTTACAACATGATTATTTACCAGTGTGAAATGATGGTGTATTTCAAGAGTATCTAAGAATATTCAGGCTGGTATTTTGAAGTTGTTAACATGTCACCAAAATGTGAGGAAATCTGACAATGTGAGAAAATATCCTAGCACTGTATTTTTTGCATTTGTGCTGTGTAGACAAAATGACGGTAGGTAGCAGATACTGGAGTCATGGTTGACCTGTTACTGTTCTGGAATTGATCTGTTCCCAAACTCAAGAAGAACAAGGTACGTGCAAGGTGACATTACTTAGTCATGCCTGACCCCCAGGACCTCCTCGCTTAGAAATACTCATCCGAACAGCTGGGTTTCTAACCCGAACATGCACCTGGCTTTGAAACCATCATCGCCGCTTTACTTCTCTTCCTTCCTCCCATCGTTCAGAGCACCACATCGCTTATGACCTTCACCACACCAAGCACTTGACAGCGTGCTCGTCCTTATCCAACGCTTGACGACACTTGTCCTTATTTCAACTTTGATAATTATATTGCAGTTAAAGATGGCTAACTTCTAAGGTATGGTACTAGGTGACTGCTTGGGATGCTGTGTTGCTTGTGGAGAGTGCGGGGGCAGGTACGTCATATGATGATGTTTCAGCTGCATGCTGATAATCGAGTGCCCCAGCCAGAGAACTATATGACGAGACTCTGATGTGGTGTTCTGAGTTGTCTGCAATTGTGAGTGGTGGTGGGGACTGAATTGTTGTGGGTTGGTAGTCTATGATGCGAGCACCCAATACTAATGCAAATGACAGCACACTAAATGTGCTGATTTGTGCTGGAGATGGTGGTTTGTGGAGCGAGAATGACGGCAGCTGCACTGTTGGCATCGCTGTATCAGGATGCAAAGGTGCTGCATGTTGTACTGTTGGCATCGTAATGGCATGTGCCATAGCAGGTTGTGGAGGTGTGCCCTGCATTGCATTCACTACATGTGAGGAGGGGTGTTTCTGTTGCACTCGAGCTGACAAAAATGAGCTAGTGTTTAGAGTCATAATATAGGTTTGTACTTTGTCACATAATGCACTGTTTTGCGCATTGAATATAAGTTGCGCCTTGGTCATTGCAATTTGCGGGTGATGCTTTCCAAAAAGCGAGAGGTATCAGGCTTGCTGGCTGATATATTACCAGAAATGCGAATTTCGTCTCTTCTGCTCACCTTTATTACTCACAACTAGTGTATTGTAACCATCATCAGCTGATGGATCTGCACAGTTTGGTACTGCAAGTGCACCACGACCAAGTTGCAGCAATGCCCAATGGACATGCAGAGCTTCTTCCATACTTTGAGGATTATTGCAGCACCCCAATAAGCTCAGCTTTGATACAGCCTTGGCGAGGCAGCGCTGTTCGTACTCCTTGTCAGTTCTCAGGTAAATAAAGTTACATTTGAACAATAAAACACTTGACATTAATTCTACTACCACAGCTGCATGTAATATATCACTACAGCATCAAATCCGCCACCCATCCACCCCTCTCAGGCTCCCCAGTGTTGCTGATGATGCACACATTGAGCTCACAAGTCTGACATCTTCGATGGAGCAGAACGTATTGCATTCACTTGCAAAGGGCAGAGGGATCACATCCTACGAGCATATTAGGCTATTAGAGTTGTGTGGAAACTGTGAACAAATGTTTGCGGCGAGTGCATTGCAGGTGCACATCTTAATGTGCTCGAAAGATTGAATGTTATATAGTGCCTTGGTCAAGCTTCAGTCTAGCTTATTAGATTTTTCATGTTACATGTAGGCAAGGAGGTCCTGGGGGTCAGGCATGACTGAGTAACGTCACCTTGCACATACCTTGTTCTTCTTGAGTTTGGGAACCGAACAATTCTGGAATGGTAACAGGTCACCTATGACTCCAGATACTGTATGTACTAGTATGATATGTACTAGTATGATATGTACTATATATAGATCATGGATAACATATTACCTTGAATTGGAGGCCATTAAGCCTTCAGGGAGGACCCAATGTCCTCAATACTTCTTCACAGCCCATGCTGCTTGAGCTCCATTAAGGCCATGCTTATCAGCAGCAATAAATCTGTAGGATTGCATAGCAAATCTGTTCAAGGAAAGAAGGAATAAGACAAATGAAGAATCCAGGCACAAATACCACTCACTGACACATGGTTGACAGTGGTATTGAAGCCAGCACAGCCACCACATTTCACTCAAGATCTGCCTCTTTTGAAGAGGGGGGATTGAGCCAATAAACCCTCTTTTCATATCCCCAACACATCTCAATAAAATTTAGTTCACAATGAAATTTTGGCAAAAAGATCACTGAGAAGCCTTGTGCATGACATCTGGTAATGCTTCAAACTCAGACCGAGGTGGATCTGTCAAGTTCTGTCGCCACCATATCTCATGTATGGCAATGAGATCTTCTTCATCAAAGACTTCCTTGCATGAAACTGTGCAGTGTTACAGGCTGCCAGGTATGTGACAGTGCACATGTATGCACTGGCCAACATCATTTTCTTCAATGCTAGGATTGGTGGCCTTGGTGTGATGATCAGACCCAAGTACATCAGTAAATTCACACATTCCTTACCTTCCTTTTTCGTCACTTATTTTCTCACATAAGAGCGCACAAGAACCATAACATCTCCTTGTCACAAGCTTCCACAAGTTCAAAAGCAGATCCCTTCCTCTTGTATTTAGCTTTTGTGCACTTTTTTTGCACTTTTTGTGCACTTGTTTGAGAATGTATTGCATTGCAATCATGATAGGTTTAATTTATATCCCCCTTTTTTGCTCTTATTTTCAACTTATTTGTGCTTGATCACTCTTGTTGTGAGGAAAAAACATCTGCATTTCAACCGAGCAAGGCAATTAAGTAGGTAGCTGAGAGAAATAAGTAGTAGTAAGTAGAATAAGTGTGAAACTAAAAATGAAACAAAACATTGAAACGGACAAAACAAATGGTATGATGACATTAGTAGTAGTAGAGGCACCACCGACGAGACAGCGACAACAAGACAGGGACAGCAATGAGACAGGGACAGCAATGAGATGGCGACAGCAACGAGACAGGTGACAGTGTGGCAACAGAGAAAACAACCAAGGTACCAGCTACTAGTAGTACTAGTCAGTTTCGAGATAGTAGTAGTAGATGATAACAAGAGCGAAGAACATTACCTCTAGAAAATGAGGGCTCAGCTCATCCTCAGTTTCATCATCCATCTCCATCCGTGTGCCACTGCCTCTTCATGGCAAGGTTCTGTGCGAGCTCCGAGTTTTGGTAAACAACCGAGTCTAGCAAGTGGCTGATAGACATGATGTAAGACCTGGTCTGCATGCCCCAATTGGCATCTGAAAACGCCAATGGAACACTACTCTCTTTACCCATCGACGGATTAATGTCCAGCGGGGTGTCACAAATTCCAAACACGAATCATTTTTCGTTCCTTGGCTTTCCTCTGGCTACTTCCAGTTACCTGAACCGGTCACGTGACTTCACTTTCTGTCACGTCTTCTTCACATATCACCCATTGCTTCTCCAATTGGCTCCCCTACTCCACTGGACTAGAACAATCTCGCTTCCCAAAGAAGAACCTGGTCGGAGCTTGGGTTTCTATTTAGTTACCATCTTACTCAGTTGCTTATATATCATGATGTCATGCTCAGTCATCCGCAGTATCATATGACTCTTTTCTCATTGGCTGATTTCTTTCATACTCAGATATCTCCTATTCAATGTTATGTATATAAGTAGGTTAGTTAGCATAAGTACTCCTTAGACTTAACCTCTTTGTTCTCTACAGTTGTAGTAGACCTAGACATTCACGCTCAATCTATCTTGTTACCATCATCATCCATGACCGAGTCCTAGTGGTTGTTGTCTGACTTTACCATTTGGTGAACTCAGGTCATAACACGGGGTCTTGTTGTTTCAGCCATTGCCAGCGGTGTCGATGTTGCTCAGAAGCATCTGCCCATTGGCAAAAAGTTTGATGGCACGTTCCATCTAAAACACAGGGTAAGTCAGCTGTATGAGGAGGAAATAAATACATGCCGCTGCTGTAATGAGAGTCTGCTCCTGCTTGCCCACCATCCATAGTCGAGTCGGGGGTCTTTGAGGTTTTTGGCAGCCTTCCCCACTGGGTGTGCATGAGGATGCTTAGGCTTAGGTGCGTCAACACGGGCATTATCTTGATCAGCCTGCATCTGTGCTTGCAAAGTAGCAATATGCTGATAACTTTCCAGCACAGCTTTTTTACTTGCCTCCTTCGCCTCCTTTTCACACTGGTCATCAGTGGCCTTCTGAGCAGCAGTACTGTCTCTTTCCCTGACCCTCAATCAAGATGCGTCCTGGATGTTGAGTTGCATTCCTTAGGTCGAGTTGCCATATGCTGCTGTAACTGCATTGGGCTGAGACATTGTGTCAATGGAGGGATTTGGAGGCTGAAGAAAGTTGGAGGCGGCGGGTTACCAGGAGTTCAAGGCAAGTTTCATTACATTTTAAAATTTATAGTTGATAGCTGACTCTGAATAATTCACAGACCCTGCTTAATAGTCTGAACTACTGTGAGTCTACTGCGACTGCCATAAACCTCCAGAGCATCAATATTTGCCAGCGCTTTTTTGGCAGAATAAAAGGACCCACGCCAAATTGAAATACCTTTAGTCCAGTGAGTATCAATGTTTACTAAAACCTGTCTGTTGGTATCTTGACATGCACTGGGGATATTTCAGTTCTGGTGGTGAGGTGACAATACTCACCAAAACCTTTCCGATGGTGGGGTGCCATTTGTGGATGTTCACCAAAACCTTTCCAGTGGCCTGGCAACATAAAGTTCACCAAAAATTTCTGGTGTTGTGGTTACATAACTGTCCATGTTACCAGAACTTTGCTGCCCATTTTCATCTTGATGTGGCGCCAAAACGAGCAGAGTCTGCATCCAATATTAGAGGCCAATATTGAACCCTGAATTCTTCCCTAGTCTCTGAAATCTTTCGCTAGCCATACACTATATCAACCTGCACTCCTCATACCATGCCTGGAATTCGCCCTACTCATTGTCTAAGTGCTACAAGCGATCGTGTCAGCGATCACATCCATCCGCACATGAGACACAGCCTGAGGGCACTCACCATTTCCGTGAGATTCATCATTTGATGATTAGAGTAAGTTGTGTTTGCTAGTGAATGATATTGGGCTGAAGATAGACAAATTTTTCAGCCACTGAACTTTTCTCACACTGCTAGTTGTTGAGCACAGTGAGGAACTTAGTATTATTTCTCATTTGTAACTACTTAATTCAATTGTATACAATGTACTTTCACTTTTCTCGCTTTCACTACTTAACTGCTTGACTGCACTTGTAAGTGCTTGTAAAAAAAATAGTGACAAGTGACTAAGCACAACTAATCAGCAGCATGTCAAAGATTTTTGTGACAAGTGACGAAAAAGCACATTAAGCATTGTGCAAATTTACTGATGTAATAAAGCAGGTGGCTCATTGTTATCAGGGGTTGGTCTGACATGATCCCCAAACCAGTGCTGTGGCTCGGAAATGACCTCAGCTTTCACAGGCAACATGGAAGACAGTTTATTTTGAGGGTAAGGCTGCTCATTTTCATTTGTAACAACAGTATTGATAGATGTTCTCTATTCCCAAGCAGACAGTCAATGTTTTGCCACTAAGAACAAAACAGAATACTCACATTTTCTTTCTGTGAGCCTCCAGCCTCATCTCCATCTCATCTTGCCCTCTTTGACTGACGTGCAGCTGCAGCATTGTTGATCTGTGCTTTATGACAACATTTCCACCTCCCCATGGGTTCACAACTTGGAACTTCGGCTTGTGTGACAAATGGCAGCACCCAGCATTGAATTTCCATTGGACTTCAAACTTGTTCTTCACATATAATTGACCCTACCAAAAGCTCTCAAAATTCAAAATATTTTCACCATCTCCACGCAGTACTGATTTACTCTATAGATAAAGTGTACACTTGCTTTTCCCATATTTTGCATAAATTACTTTTATGCTTCCTGGCCCTGTTGGATTGATTTTGAATTTCCCAACCTCGTCACTCTAATGTAATTCTGGGCACATGATGTTTGTTGAATTTGCAAGACCTCTACTTTAGTGGTCCAGGAGTGTGGCAGTAGCCAGCATGCAACAGTGAAAGCAGTGGCTTCGTGACCAGTGGTGACAATGAAAGTAAGTTGTGTGGGCTGAGAAAATAATCAGTACAAGAAGATGTGGCAACATGCTGGCCGACATACCTCTGTGGAGTTGAATACAAGTGAGTTTGGTGAGGAACAATACTGAAAAAAATGCATGTGAAGTTGCACAGACCTCTCGAGTTGTGATGAGGTCTGATCTTGCATGACATTGGAGCCACTGCTGCTGATGGTAAAGTCGCAGTGCATCTCTAAGTGAAAATAAAATGAATGATTGGTTCAGTTCATAGTTCAATGATCCATGGGAATGGCTGAAAAGTAAAATTATGATGGGAGTTTGTGCCAATGGTAGGGATCTGCATGGGTAAACCCTGGGGTACCAGAGGTCGTACCTGCACCCATACCCAGCAAAAACCCGTACCTGCTGTGAGGGTATGGGTTTTTTGTGGGTATCAAACTCTCAGACCCGTACCCATACCTGTGGAGGGTATACCCATAGATATCTTGCAAAATTCATATAATCTACTACAACACAAAAGGACCAGCTACTCGATGTCAATACGGTCCCACCCATCCTTTAAGTCCTCTTCACTTTCCAACAATTGCTCAGCATGTGCATCATGCCAAGAGCACCGAGAGTGCATGCCACAAAGGCAAAGGGATAGACCGTGGGTAGGTGTTAAGACCGTGCTCAGGGGTAAAGCAGATTCTGAGGGGCTTGGCTTCAGCTCGTACGCTGCGCCCCTTACCCGAGTACATGCCCCTAATTTCAGAATGTAGTCCGACACGAGTTCTATGAGTTCCAACAGGATGTCGGAACGGGGGTCCTCTGAAGGAGGACTGACGGACTACTAGGTGAGCATGGGAAAGTCGGGCAGGGTTGTTCTGCCCGGCAGGAGGGAGGTGGGAGACTACTGTGGTCGGAACCAACAGTAGAAGCAGAGTGGAAGGAGCTGCTTGGACAAAGTCCGAAGCAGAGCAGAACGGAGGGAACAGATGCGAGAGTGCGGGGATCAGTTCCAATGCACGGGAAAGCCGGCCAATGTGCAGGGAGTCGGAAGAGCAGAGGGACAAAGGAATGGGGGAATGGGGGAATGGGGGAACTGGGGAACGGGGGAATGGGGGAACGGGGGAACGGGGGAACAGGGGAACGGGGGAATGGGGGAACGGGGGAACGGGGGAACAGGGGAACGGGGGAACGGGGGAACAGAGGATCAGAGGGTCGGAGGATTGGAGGGTGGCCGACCTAGGGAGTCAATCCCCTAGGCCAGCTAACAGGAGTTGACTAGGATCAGGCCCAAGTCAAAGAACAGAAGAGCAGGGCTTAGAAAAGGTAATATTCAGACTGAGTATCTACAGACAAATGTACATATGTTTATATACTCTAAGTGATGAGCATAGCATAGCAGAAGGCTATGTGCTGAGTGTACAGGAATACAATAGGATGACTGAGACATATGAGAATAAGGCTCGGGGAACAGTATGTATGTGACGGATCAGAATCGCTAGGGTATAGGGATTACTGGTGATCCGAAAAGCGGAACTATGATACTAAATGGGGATAGGACCAGTTGAGTGGTTCCTAGTCTAGGAGTGGACCGGTGAGGCAGTCGGATGGACTAATAGTTGGGTGGGACAAGACGAGCGGAACTGGGCAGGTCGGAAAAGCAGAGGGAGTAGAATCAGGCGGACCGATAGGGCAGAGGAGCGGAACCCCAGATAGGGTCGGATGGAAGGGGTATAATGTCAGAGGACATAGGGGTAGTGTCGGAAGAGTGGAACAGGGTCGGGCGGAGGTAGTAGCAGGGCTAATCCTGCTGAGATGCACTTCATGCATTGTTGGAGAAGGAGGAATGGAGCAGATGGGGAAACAGGGGGTCGGACCAGCAGTAGGGATGCTTATAGGTGGTACTGGGGGTACTCAGATCCGGTATATGACAGTAGGCCCACACGTGGAGAAACTTGAAAGTATCAGCCAATTAGACTTGTGTAAAGGAAAAATTAAACTTGAGTAATCAATGTAAAATACCCTGGGTAGACTCACGAGTTCTCTGATGGACATCAATATTGACACTCTGTTTACCCAACAATTACAAATCAAAGCAAAAAATTCTGGAATTGAAGTTGAAGTTGGGCAAAATGTGGTGGTAAATCTTATCTGCTGATGCATGCCACATGTCAAATAGACAGAAGGAATATCCAAAGGCTGTTCAATCAGTTGAGTTAGAAAATTTTCAAGCTACAGTAACATAGTAATGCAAAGCAAGTTCACTACACGTAGTCTCATCAGAAGCTCTCATGGAATGGCTTGGTAGTGCAAACAGGCATTTGAACTCAAAATGTTTGAGAGAACTCTCGATAGGGGTTGGTATTAGACTGTGGATCGCTCATGTCACTGTACATCATACCATGGCATAATGCAGGCGGCGTTGCTACTCTTGCTATTCTTGGTCTACAAGCGCCATTTGACTCTTTTCAAACGTTTTGATGGGGCAGGAGTGACCGATTCAAGTGGGCTGTTGCCATTGATCTGAAACTCATCCAATGTACGCTTTGTGGATGTGCCAATATGGAACACGATGGTGTTGGGCCTCGGAGAAGTGACGGATAGCAAGGGTGGTGCAATAGGCACAGTAGAGGGAGGATACTGCAAGGTTGGTTTGATGGGGCGGATATCAGGAACAGGTCTTGCATGTGGGGCCACAGGGAATTCCTTTGTTGAAAGAATAGTTGTGGGAGTTGACGGTCCTCTTGTTGACATTTCAGAGGTGGAAGCGGGTGCCGAAGCCTCTGTTGTCGATTGTCGGGAGTCCATGTCGATGGCTGACAGTCGTTTATTAGGCTGCGCATTAACAGGTTCAAACTGAGTGTAAGAGAAAATTAAAAGGCATGTCATAGAATAACAAATATCCAACCCAACCTAAGGCAATATCAGCTTTTGGGACTTCAGGAGAGGGAATCAATAATCGTTGGAAATACACATACCTTTGCAAGTTTCTGCCCTTCGGATAAAACACTGAGGCAAGACCGCAGACCTTTTAAACACCATTGCCTTTCGAGCCAGGAAAGGAGACAATGATTCCCGAAAGCCTGGAATAGGTGATTGAGCGTGTGATTCCATGGAGTTGGAGCTCGCAAGAGATGAACAGCCCAGTTTTGACAAGCATACTTGAGAGCGTCGGAAGTAGATCGACTTCGCTCCTGTGCTTCTTTTGCGAACGTCGTAAAGGTGTTCACGGCATGGATGATCCCCCTGTCTGGTGGACAATGACTTTTTGGTATTGCAGAGGTGGAATGATGCTGGCACCTCAATGCCAAGAATGCCGGGAACATTAAGAAATCCGGTAAGCTCTTGAACTGCTGGATTACTTGAGAAGCTGGTTGTAAAATAAATTCTGGGGCATGGATGTACTCGTTGATTGCTCCCAATGTGCTGGAGAATTCTTCCATCGTCAGCCAGACAGATGCTGCAGGAGTCGACTGCCATGCTTGACCATCGGGCGTCAGCAGCCAGTTTTTCCCGCACTGTGTCTGCAACCAGTCTCGCCCATCCTTGATCTGCAGCCAATTTTTCCCGCCCGAGGTTTGTAACCAGTCTCGCACGCCCTGGGTCTGCAGCCATTTTTGCCCAAGCCGGGCTCGCAGCCAGTCGCGCCCGCCCTGCGTCTCCAGCCACTCCTGCCCCTGCACTTTCTGCAGCCAGTCCTTTCCCCGGGTTCGCAGCCAGTGCCACTCGGCCGGGGTCTGCAGCCAATTTTTCCCGCGATTGGTCTGCGACCGGTGGTGCTGCTTCCCCATTGTGGTCATCAGCGAGGCTTTTCTCCTCGTGGTTGGTAGCGAATCTCCCCTGCTCGGGGTCGGCAGCGAAATTTCCACGCTCGGCTCAGTCTGCTGGCAGTTCGCATTCATGAATAATTCCAGGTGGGATTCACCCGTCATGGCCGGGATCTGCAGCTGGAATGGTGTGCTTGGTGTCTGCGACTGGTCTTCTTTTCCCAAGAGCCAGGAGTGCATTCCCGCAGTCGGCCATTTGCCCGCGCTCTGCATCCAGTCTCGCCCAGTCTTCGTTCTCAACCACTTTTCCCCCCACAAGACTTCCAGCCAATTTGCGCCCCACTGTGTCTGCAGCCATATGTTTCCTCCCAGAGTCCACAACCAGCGTTGTCCAACCCAGGTCTGCAGCCAGTCCTTCCCCTCTCGTGTCGGCAGCCAGTCTTTCCCGCCCTGTGTCAGCAGCCAATTCTCTCCCGTCGGGGTGCACAGCCAGTCCTTCCCTCGTTGGGTCTGCAGCCAGGCAAATCCGTCCTCGGTCTCTAACCAGAATTGGAAATCTGAACCACGATCTCCCCGAAGCCATATCATACTGATGAGAACTGACAGAGGCTCCGCTGGCCGAACAAGGAAGGCTAGTGAGTCTTTCAATCTCTGCGGGTCGTAGGGCTTCATAGCTTGACTCTGCCTCTTCAATTCTGAGAGCGCATCAGAAAGGGCCGTGCTTTCTGGAATCTCCTTCATCATCAAGCGGAGAGAGGCATGTGCGAGGAGGGAGTGGGGTGATGGGATATCATGTACTTGAGGGAGGCTGCAGTTTGAGGGGTCGGAAACATAATCACGAACGGATGAGTGGTAGATATTCACGGGGAGTGTGCTATTTGTAGGAATACTCATGACAGACCGTAGCTGCATCAGTGCTGTCTCCACATCCCTCCCCTGGCCAGCGCCAAGAAGTTTCGAGATTTGTGACATTGGAAGAGGGTCCGCAAGTGCAGCAACGACGGACAAGTGTAGGTATGCCCGCTTGGGGTCGGCGCATGTAGAGAGGATACAATCATACAACTTGTAAACCTCCGTTCCTGGTAGCAGCTTAGTCGTTAGCTTGAGCATCAGCTGAAGCCGATCGTGGGGATCAGTGTCTCCATCATCGATAAACTTCATCATCGTAGACGCCACAATGAAACGTCTGCCTGCTCGACTGGCAAGCTGCTGAAGTTCATGCATTGATGGCTGCGGAAAATCGGGGTAGCGTCTTTGCAGCCCTCTAAACGAATGCCGCAAGAAAATATAGATGTCATTGTCAACATCTGCGCCGTCTAACGAGATGATATCAGCAATGCCCTCCCCGGTAGTTTTCACTGGGATCTCGCACACCAGCGGGTGAACCTCTTCTTGCTCAAAGGCCTCAGAGATATGCGATTCCGAGCGACTCGTGAGC